CAAGCATGGACTCTCACTCGTGAAGCTGAAACCGGCACCAAGGTCGGCATATACCGATCCGATAACGGCGAATTGAAATCTGAGTCCATGAGAGAGTGGCTCCTCTCTCGTGGTACTCAACATCAATTCACCGCCCCATACACCTCCGCGCATAATGGTCGTGTTGAACGTTTGCATCGCACTCTGATGGGTAAAGCACTTGCGATGCGCTCCGCCTGCAACGTTCCAGTCAATCGTTGGGACGAATTCGTCCTCACTGCCTGCTACTTATCTAATCGCACCCCTGTAGTCTCGCAGGCCGGTCACACCCCGTTTGAACGTTGGTACGGCCATAAGCCAGATCTATCCCACCTGCGTGAAATTGGCTGCAGGGCCTTCGTACTCATCCAGAATCGACACAATCCTAAGGTGTTTAGTCGATCCGTTGAGTGTGTGCTAATCGGCTATGCTCCCGACTCCAAAGCTTATCGATGTTATCATCGCCAATCTTATAAAGTCTTTGTTTCTTACCACGTTTCGTTTATAGAGTCACACCAGAGTGGTACCCTTGCCCCTCCATCGGCGCTACCTACACCTCCCTCTACAAACTCTACCCCTCGCCCACATTCCGTCTCTGTCGAAGAGATCCCGGACATTGATGCTCCCTCAACCAACACTGCACCACCTCCCCCAACTGACCTTCCTCGACGCTCCTCCCGCACTTCAATACCTTCTGAGCGTCGTTGTGCCATGGATGGTAAACCGTACGTATCATCTACTCAACGTGCCGTTCTAGAATCGCTCGCTGCGACCGATCGCCAGCGTGCCCTGTTGCCTGACCAACCTCCTGGTGAAAATACCTTGGCAACCTTCTTTTCTGAGGAGGAGTTCGCCACCTTAGCTGATGTCTTTGCCGCTATGCCAGACAACTTGGAACACGAGCTGCCCGACGATCCCTCCACTTATGTTGAGGCCATGGCTTCAGAACATGCCCCTCAATGGACGGCAGCACTGAAGGACGAATTTGACTCCTTACGGGACCTTGGCGTCTACAAACTCATTCCGCGCTCAGCTATTCCACCCGGACGTAAAATCATGCGTGGACGCCCAGTTTTTAAACTGAAGCGCGACCAACATGGCCTTCCTGCCCGCTTCAAAGCGTGTTATGTCTGTCGTGGGTATTCGGCCGTCTGGGGACAGGATTACACCAAAACTTCCGCGCCTACCGCTCGACTTGAATCTTTCCGCATTCTCACTCACCTCAGGGCCGCACTGGACTGGGAGATCGATCAGCTGGACATTAAAATGGCATTCCTTCACGGTCTCCTTGACCCCGACGAAGTATGCTACATGCATCAACCCGAAGGCTTCTTAGAGCCTGGTAAGGAGGACTGGGTCTGGGAATTGCAGAAAGGACTCTATGGTATGAAGCAAGGTGGACTTGTCTGGAATCGCACTATGAACGATGCGATGCTGTCCTGGGGATTCACTCGCCTCAAGTGTGAACATTGTATCTATTATCGAAAGACTGACGCTGGCATTCTCCTCGTCGCTGTTCATGTTGACGATTTCCTCACTGTTGGCAGCACAAAGGCCGTTGTCAACGACTTCAAATCCCAACTTCGCACCAAATGGACTGTCTCCGACCTCGGCGAGGCACGATTCTGTTTGGGTATCGCACTTGAACGCGACCGCACCAACCGTACCATCAGCCTCTCCCAGACTGCGCTCATTGATCGCATAGTCGTACAATTCGGCTTAACAGACGCAGTCCCCATCACCACTCCTATGGAAACAGGTCTCCACCTCTCACGCCGTGCCCATTCGCCTTCTATGGATGCCCAACGCGACCTTATGGCTCGTACCCCTTACCGGTCCCTTGTCGGCTCTCTTATGTACCTTGCTATCGGCACCCGCCCAGATATCGCACATGCTGTACAGCAGCTTTGTCGGCATCTAGATTGTTACGGGCCCGTCCACTGGGAGGCGGCCAAACGGGTTGCATGATATCTCAAGGGTACCCGTAACCTCAAACTCGTGCTTGGTGGCGAACATCCGGCGCGTCTACTCGGGTTCACTGACAGCGATTTCGCCAACTGCCCCGATACGAGGCGTTCCGTCAGCGGTTATTGCTTTACCATGGGCAGCGGCATGGTCACCTGGAGCGCACGTCAGCAAAAGACAGTATCCCTGTCGACATGTGAAGCCGAATACGTCGCCGCCTCCGATGCTGCCAAAGAACTGGTCTGGCTGCGCACCTTGCTTCTCGAAATTAACTTCATGCAGCCATCCGCAACGCCTCTTCTGTGCGACAATACGGGTGGCATTACTCTTTCCGAGGACGCATCCTACCATTCCAAAGTGAAACACATCGACATCACTGTTCATTCCATTCGCGAAAGGGTCACCCGCAGGCAGCTTAAACTACTATATGTCAAATCATTGAACAACGCTGCCGATATCTTTACCAAGGCGCTTCCGCGTAAGGACTTCGAACATTTGCGCATTTGCTTGGGCCTACAGTGAGGAATCGAGGAGGAGTTGCTTATCACGCCGAGGAGGAGTGTTGATGCTACGCATATCGACGTGATAAGCGGAGTTGAACTTTGGAATTCGAACCACCATACATATACCAATTCACGTTCTCACCTTCCCTCAGTCTGTTCCATCACAACTGAGGGTAAGCCTTTTCTAGTTACTTGAACCGCCCTAGATGCTAACGACCGCTTAGGCTAACGTAGTATCTAGGTACTTGATAATCTCAGTCTGTTCCATCACAACTGAGGGCTAACGTAGTATCTAGTCTTTATACCTCTATCTCTGGTAGTCCTCTGCTGTTTCCTTTCTAGTTCGGACTTCGTCCGGATTAGTCTTATCACTTGTTCCCGAATGTCTGCCGGAATTCCCGCGCATCGGACATCGGACTCCGGACATTGTCCATTAGCCTTCGGAAGTTAGGGGCACGTACTCGGGTAAGGGGCGCAGCGCACGAGCTGAAGCCAAGCCCTTCGGATCTGACCCTTGAGCACGTTCTTACACCTGTTCATGGCAGGGTGATACTTAACCATGTCTAACTATACACAGTACATTTTGTAAGTTTGTCTCGGAGTCACCAACATGAAGCTTCATGAAGCTTAACAGGCACGATGCCTCACTGGTTCTAAAGATCGGGATCTCTCTTGTGATCTCGATGCTACTGGAAATGTTTTTCTCAGGCTTCCAAGAATAGCGCTACCACCGGAAAAATTACCAAATTGGGATATTCCAATAATCTCACTATTCCCACATACCTCCCTGGCTCTACTGCTGCACCAGAGCTTTCCCCTTGCTCACTCATGTATATAAGTAGTAGAATGGCATGTACATACATAAAATGATACAATAGACCGCTTTTTCATTGTCTGAGAGCTTGTACAGCAGTCTACAGTACTGACTACAATATGTGCATCCCAGGACTAAAACATATTCGCTTTTTTGCCCCTTTAGCAGGGAAGCAATTCTGACTGTATATATCATATATTAGAGTGTTAATGAATATATTACACCGCTTGTTTGAGCCTCTGTAGTGTCCTACATCAGTAGATATGTTAAATTCATGAATACCTCTCAAAAAACATAAACCAGTTCGCATTTTTTAGTGTTTAGGTATATAGACTGGTGAATATTATTTCTAACATCTCTTTACTAGTATATACATCATATCAAGAGTATATGTCAGCAGGATCAGTCCCTAGGGTCATATGTATTGTCATCTTCCTGGTGGTTCACTCCCTGAGAAAAATTTTCCTGCAGCTCCGGCCCTCTAGGATGGTAGGTAGTCTTTTACTATGAACATATGGAATATATTTATCACATAGGTATACCAGAACAATACCAGGATCCTTGTCTACAATCCAAAGTCACTTTTTGCCTACAATGTACCATATTTTCGCATTTTTGAGGTTTTTCACTACATTCTCACTACATAGACTATACCAGCTGTTCATATATCACTTATAGTACATATATGAAGCCTTCCCAAGGCCATGATCAGGCAGAAATATGACATAGTAATGATATCAATGATATAGGGGCAAATCCCACAATCATGCAAATGTTATATTTCAACCCTGTCTAGGGCGAAGATTTCATTAAAAATGTATAGAATACATTGTAAACTACTTAAATATACTATACTAATATATGTTGTGAAGGTAAAGGTGATGTGGAAGTGTTGTGGTCTCAATTTGTTGCATTATTATGGTCAGACCACCCTTGCATAGACTGTTGGTGCATAGTACTTTTTCGATGTTTGGACTTTTTGACTTTCCCACGACCTATTTCTTATCTATTGGATTCCCCTGCTGTCAATTATTCATGGATCCTTCTGGTAGTCGAGGACTGTATTACTTGGTATATATAGTGTACTCCAAGATAGTCTGATCATAATATTTTACTATATTCATGTCTGGGAATTCTTATCAGTGAGAATAGGAGATATGTGCTTAATATCATTACTATGTCATATTTCTGCCTGATCATGGCCTTGGGAAGGCTTCATATATGTACTATAAGTGATATATGAACAGCTGGTATAGTCTATGTAGTGAGAATGTAGTGAAAAACCTCAAAAATGCGAAAATATGGTACATTGTAGGCAAAAAGTGACTTTGGATTGTAGACAAGGATCCTGGTATTGTTCTGGTATACCTATGTGATAAATATATTCCATATGTTCATAGTAAAAGACTACCTACCATCCTAGAGGGCCGGAGCTGCAGGAAAATTTTTCTCAGGGAGTGAACCACCAGGAAGATGACAATACATATGACCCTAGGGACTGATCCTGCTGACATATACTCTTGATATGATGTATATACTAGTAAAGAGATGTTAGAAATAATATTCACCAGTCTATATACCTAAACACTAAAAAATGCGAACTGGTTTATGTTTTTTGAGAGGTATTCATGAATTTAACATATCTACTGATGTAGGACACTACAGAGGCTCAAACAAGCGGTGTAATATATTCATTAACACTCTAATATATGATATATACAGTCAGAATTGCTTCCCTGCTAAAGGGGCAAAAAAGCGAATATGTTTTAGTCCTGGGATGCACATATTGTAGTCAGTACTGTAGACTGCTGTACAAGCTCTCAGACAATGAAAAAGCGGTCTATTGTATCATTTTATGTATGTACATGCCATTCTACTACTTATATACATGAGTGAGCAAGGGGAAAGCTCTGGTGCAGCAGTAGAGCCAGGGAGGTATGTGGGAATAGTGAGATTATTGGAATATCCCAATTTGGTAATTTTTCCGGTGGTAGCGCTATTCTTGGAAGCCTGAGAATCACCAAAGGAATCAGAAGCCGTTAAGCTTAATTGTAGGGGATTGATAGTTTACAAACAAACTTACAAAACCATACCGTTTCTAGTCAGTGAGTATTATGCTTAATTTTAACAGTATAGCCTGGTTCTTAACAATTTCCCAGTACCTCTGTATGTGGTACTACATGAAGGCAATGATAGATCAGCTCCCAATGACCGTCCCTGAGGACCTAGCATTAGAGCTGGCATGATTGGAGTTCACTGATAGTCCTTTCCCACTGCCTGTTCTCAATTATCTCTTCCTTACTAGATGTCCACGGGAGTTCGCACATTTTTGGCAAACTGGTTATTACTCCACATCGCACAAACAAACAAAATTAATTCTTTGACATTTCGATAGCGTGACATTGAAAGTACAAGGTCTGCTAGTTTCTTTTTCGAAAATCAACGTGTTGAGTCCAGCGGTGAGTTACCACGCAGAAAAGTGCATTTTCCCTAGACTTCGCGCACTTCGTCACACTATGTCACACGTCTGCCGCAATGCCTTTTCACGCTCCGCAAAGTTTGCACCGTTTGAGTGTTGTGAAGTCGTGCATGGTGTAAAGCATTTCGGCATTGCGGAGTTTTGATTACACAGTCTCTATGTAACACTTTGGGCAGATTGTCACATCTGGGGCTTATTTCTTTATCGCAGATAATCCTGACAAGCATGTGCCCCGGATAAATTTGTTTTAGTGTTCTCTAATCATGTATAACCATCTTACAATATTCCAGAATTATAGGTGAAGATCTGACCTTTAGAGCGAGTCTTCTATGCCTCTCGCACTGATAAGTTGCTCATGGGACAAGATCTACTTCGATTTTCTTCAAAAAAAAAATATGGCAGTGTGTATTATGTTTTGGCAAATCCAGATCTACCATGGATAAGGATTCCGTGCAGAATTGCGTGTGCTAGAGTCAATGCGCGGACTCTTGGGACACACGGACTCGTGGGACAATCTAGTACTGAGAGATCATAGCGAAGCAATAGTGATTTATAATACATGATCATGTAAATAGTACACCTAACGAAACACAATTACGTAGCATAACTTATGCATTATCTTCCTCTGGTACGCCAATTGCTTACATGTCCCACTCATCCCACAGACCTTCCACTGGCGTGGGTGTCATCGGTGTCTGTGTGGAGTTGAAATCCCCAGTTCGAACTAGTTCTATTATCTTGTCGCTGACGCCATCTTTGTCGTCCTTGGTCCCACGCATCGCTACGAGTAATGGATCATCGGCCGAGTGAGATTTCAGGTTCGTGTGCATCAATAAACGAATGTCGCTCCCTTCAATGACTTGATCAAGTCTACCGGTAGAAATGCTCCGAATTTCAATAAACTCAGAGGAGAACAGCATCACATGAGACCCGCGATGGGCAAATGACGTAGCTTTCGTCTCCCAGAGGATGAATCCGCATTTCCGGTGGGGAACGCCCTGCTTCGTTATGTAGCATCCAAGAGCTATAGTGGAGGTACGATGAATTATGGACGTAATTTGAATCGAGAAGACTTACTGTCATAAACGACCAATATTTCGCGGGTTTCAGTCCGAATTAAGCCGAGGGGCTTAGCATCCTCACAGCGAGTCTTCAGGTCGGCCATGTCTGTACTATCGCAGGTTGCTCCGCTGAAGTCCGGGACGACCTGGATTATCTGCCTGGTTGCGCTGGAATACTACATTAGTAAAGTACAGAAGGCGGAGGATGAGCAACATACTCAGTCGGATCGGCGATGACGATGCCCTTCTCTGTACTTATAGCAATCATCTTGGCTAGTGCCATAACGGAGTAGGCATCCTTTGGTACATACAATGGCTGGTTCACAGTATGAGCATATAAAAAGGAAATGGTGACATCCACTCACTTCGCCAAACGGTCTAAACGATGATACGGTACCCTGAGATCCTCGTGATGGAGTTCGTCGAAGCTCAGAAAGGTTGCAGGCTTCCAAAGCATGCACTGTGATTTGAAAGAATGATTTAAGAGCATAAATAACTGGTGAGAGGTGTGAGTCAAATAGTTGTACGAGTTAGGTCAAAGCTCACCTATCATTCGTTGTTTTATTCGTCCTACAGTACAAAATAGGACGGTCCCATCTTCCCCTGCAATCTTCTCCATTGAAGCATCTAAGCTACTTGCAGGGGCCTGGTACATTGCGACTCTAGCGAGAATGTCCAAGGAATAGGAGAGCAAATAGCTCTCATGATGTACGATGAACTTATTGAATTCCTGTAAAACTATGATAGAGGAAGGATTGCCATACGACAATATCTTGCGGAAGCCTGAAGGTGAACATCAGTGATGGAACAGGTTAGTGTGTGAATATTTCATACTGATATCGCCTCTTAAACCAACATAGATTCCGGTGGCGCAGCCGACCGCCATGAGCCTCTTGCCGCCGGCAGCAGCTAGATAGACCATCAATCATAAGCGACATTAGATGGGAAGTAGCAATATGATGCGTACTAAAGGAGACAGCGTTGACAACCCTCCCTGACGCTTTGGATCCAAAACCGCGGGGAGTGTAAGCTCCTGGTGATCGAAAGGAGCCATCGTCAACGAGTTGTGGTGCAAACCACTAATCAGTTGAATAAAAGCGCACCGACATGCAGATACGGATGTACACACCTTGTTTGCATCTCGGCGCACGTCGTCTATTCCCTTGGTCTCAACAAGAGCGTTCCGCCACTTCTCTCTCGCAGACTCGGTCGGCGCGTACAAAGTATACCGCCGCTCCAATTTATCTGCGGAGTGATAAATCGTGAACGGGTAGATGGGTTTGTATTGTGCGCGCAAGCTGTCCAAGATCCCTCCTTCTTCGGACCGTTCCCTCCTACTTTCTGGCTGTCCTTCGAAGCTTCCTAGTTTGAGATATTCTAAGGGTATAGGCTGTGAAAATGAGTTTCAATGAAATCAGTGAAAAGAAACCAAATGGCTTTACTCTGGACGAAACATAGCGCTTGAGGATTCCTCCCGTTCTTCTCTCCTCTTTAGTGAGCAACACTGCGATAAATCAGTGACCCAAAGTCGAGCAAGAGACAAATACATAACTTACGATAGTTGTCGAGTAAGACGGCGAACAGATCAGTCCACGGGTGCCAATCCATCTCGGACTTGGACCTTCGAGCTACAGGGCCAGAGTACACTAGTGATCGACTGTCGTCATACCAATCCAAATCCTGCACTGGATCAGCCGAAAAACGAATGACGTCCACAGAACGCACCATTATTTGTCCCTTGGGCATCGTCAAACTTTCACAGACATTCCAATATTTTACTCTGTTCTCTGCGGCTGCAATACCAGGTTGTGTGCTCTTCAGGAAGTCGCTCAAAATGTTTAGGAGAAGTGGCAGATCTTCAAGATCCGGATGGCCTGGTTCTGTAATCTTCTGAATGTGCTCAAGGATCAAATGAAGGCGTGGGAGGCGAGTCACTGGTCTGGAAAGGAAGGTGATCATGTCGCGCTTGCGCATCCGAGGATCTTGAGAACATTTTTGTATGAACACTTGATAGTTTTTATTGCGACTGAGTTCAGTGCGATGCCGCTCTTCTGCGATTGGGTAGTGTTTGATGTAGGACTCATAATCCGCTTGGAACTGAAAGCAGGCTAAAAGGTGTTGAATGTGAGCTGTTAAGTATTTTTTTGTCAACTCACTTTCAAGTACAATGTCAGTCACGCTCTGTACCAGCGGATGCTGATCCAATTGGCGTTCAAAGAGTGCAGCCAGCATACGCTCATGGTGCACAAAGATCTGACCCAAATTCCAAAACACTTCCTGAACAAAGGGACGTAACCTGTCGGAAGCAATGACAGGGGGTTTGGCGAACTGTAAAGGCTCAATAAAAACCTGCGGCAAAATATTAGCTGGATCTGATTGTATCATGATAGCGGTGGATGCTACCTCTGTGACAAGTCTAAGATCTTCCACATAGTCCCTTTCCGACTTGAACAGCTCGAACAGCACTGATTGTCGTTCAACTTCTTTTTTGCCAAGTGCTTCCTGGGCTTCAGGAGGAACTAGCCGGTGCCATTCTTCATCCTTCTCTGCTAATTGATGACCGGCTTGGAATAGTCTTAAACCCTCCTCAGAATATAGGCTGTGTCTTTTCAATGTCTATCGCATTAAACAAACCACCATGATACTCACGAAACATTGGACAGTTCTTGAGTTAGTTGGTTTACTGGTGCTTCCCACTGAAGAGGTCATCAGAATACGTCATCGTCGACTTTTCATTTTATACACGTACATCGTCCTCAGGAGGGTAATGCATGGACGAAGCAGAGTCGGGTGTTACTGGAGTGAAGGGCCGCGTACTATGGTCTCCACTCGGTGGTAGAGAATCATGGCCGTCATCGGACTTGCTGGGACGGTGGCGTGGTGAATACGGGTGAAGTGTTGTTCGTTGAGAAGCAAATCGATGTATCTCCGGTTCAGGAAAGGAGATGGTGGGTGGTAAGGGCTCGTATGCACTCCGAGTACGAGGGCGTGATCGAAGTTCACCTGGTCTGCCATTCGGATGTCGGGTTGTAGGTGTTTGGTCCCATGGATTCAAGAGGTCCCCAGATGGCGCATTATGTTCAAATTCGTCTGGGTATGCCTGCAGTGGGCTAGGGTTGGGTAGAGGACTCGCTCCCGGGGGGATCGTAACATATGGATAGTGTCGCTGATTATGCATAATAAATGTAATCACGGAACAAGTTAAGTGGTTGATTGAGTTGCAACAAGCTACAAGAGATTAATGACTGGCTATAGACAAATCAAAAGGTCAAATTCGAAGATAATAACAGTAAGTCTTACCCTAGTACCGCACAGGGCCGCCAAGCAAGGGTTACATATGTGAATGAAATCACGTCACGTGAGGATAATTTAGTCATTGTACTCCGGGGCCGGCTGGGCAGCTTTTCCGTTAGTACCATAAGCAACACTAGTGGCATGGCTACGGGTGCTCTGAAAAGAAACCTTCTGCCGATAATCTCATTCTTGGTCGCCATCATCATAAAATAGTTCATCTTCCGGCCTACAGCTGATGAATGAACCAATACGACCAGTCGTTATTCAATCATAGATCAATATTCAATCTTCATACATAATGTACACGTCATACAGCATACCATAGAGTGAATGAAATCAGTAACATAACATGCTTTCAATAGTAGTGAGCATGTGTCAACCACCCGCCAGTGCACTTCTTTGAACGACCCCCCCTACAATTCTTCGCCTTATTACAACCCCTCCTCGGCCCGCGCCTCTGTGCGCCACGCATCTTAGACACCTCCCATTTCTCTCTCGACTCAGCCCAGATCTGCTCCATGTCCTCCGTGATCTCCTTGGCTTTCCCTCTCGCACGTGAAGCACGGTGCATTAGAGCTTCCCCAGCTTCATGAAGCCATTTCGCCCCGTTGTCCTTGAGCTCCTTTGCACGACGCTGTGCATGCTCATTACGGGCGTTAAAAGCATCCACGATCGCCTCAAATTCCGAAGCTCTTTGCTCAAACTGCACTGTCGAATACTGGATAAGCGCATTAGTTTGGGCAATCATGGCGTGAGCTTGTCGGGAAATGGCTTGGACGAGCGAATCGAGAGCGTCGATGATATCTTGCATGTCAGCATTGACAGCAGCTAGGACAGCGGGCGCATGCGTATCCACAAATTTGGGAAGATAGTCCTGCAAGAAACTCAGGCCAAGAGTAGATGACGTGAGTGCGGACGAAGACGGAGTTGGCACTGCCTCTGCCACATGGGCCTTTGAGGATGTCATACTAGGAACGACAGATAGTGAATTGGTGCTTCCTTCAAGAGACATGAGGGAAGAAGTCGGACGAAGGATGACATCTTTGGAAAGCTTTAGCTTCTCCGAAAATGAAGATGTGCTGCGGAACCCAGATGTAGAGGTCTCCTGAAAGATAGAAACCGATGTGGGGTCTGGGTTGAATACTGACAAGGCGAAGTCTTTCAGAGAAGAGTGGATTGATATTGCTGTCGACTCGGTCTTTGCTGGAATCGATTCGTGCGAGCGATTGATGACAGGGTAGAGGAGTGCCCAAAGGAATGGCGTTGAAGCGGCAGATGCCACGGCAGTGGTGACAGGGGTAGGGGTAACTGCAGGTGCAGTACCGCGGAATGTGGATCCTACCATAACGCCAAGCACAAGCGACACCATGGTAAGTCTTGAATTCAATGTTCAGTTACATCAGTGGCCAATAACAGCAAGACTTACATTGTGAAAGTATGCGGCGAATTGGTTGAGAGCTTGACCGATTTCTTCTTACCACGAAGGAAGATGCGATCAAAAGCACGATGTGCTCGATATGGAGGAAGACTCTCAATCACATCAGCATTCACAACGCATGAAGCAGTATCGCTAAGCCGAAGGACCCTGTCACTGGGGACATTGAAGAGGTCCCACGCCTCCTGCGCGGAATTGTGAATTGCATCCTCAGACTGGAGACTGTCTATGGCGCAAGGAGCAGGGACAAGGACAGGAAGATACGCTGCATGCTCTGGAAGCTGCAGAGATGAAAATGGAAGGAAAACGATAGCCAAACTTGGGTGACCTGTGGAAAAATCGGCTAATGGCTGCAGGGCGTTGCAATTAATCTTCCGGTGAAGAAGTGAATCAAACCTACATCTTCCCTGCCACCTTGAGTCCGGTCGATCACTGTAATGATGCGAGGGTAAAACAAGCTCCTGTCTGTTCTACCATCGATGCGGAGTTGTCGAATAGGGCCGTCCATCTCCTCGAGAGGTGTGGTAATGGTGAGACGAGCACCACGAACAGCCTTCTCGAGAAGTGTGGACACAAACGACCATTTATGCGGATAATGAAACCCATAAAGTGTAATATTCAGGTCAGAGTCGAGTAAGGCGGATACTGCATCATCAATGGTTATGGGGACTGAAGAGCTCCCGGGCGCGTGAGACAGGTCCGGTCCTCCCGGGTCCGTGATATGCACGGTGACATCGGGGTCCGGGCCAGAGAACATGGCATCAGAGGAAGGCGATGATATGTTCTCGGATGAAGTGCTGGAGAGCTCTTCATGGGAACTGAAAATGGGATCCGGGAAGGATAGGCGCAAATCGCGCGACGACGTAATCACAGTGGATGCGTGAACCGAGCTTGAGCGAGAGGAGCTCAGAGTACTGATCATACTCTGATCTAGACCCTCTTTAACACGCTGCTCTTCTGTAACATCACCGACATCATCATCAGTCGGAGTAGTAAAGAAGGCGAGTGGAGAGCCGGATAGGCGGACGGTATCGGGTACCAGCCCCTCGTCGGCACTGTCTTCAATTAAGCCTTCCCAGGCATCGACGTCTCCGTCTCTGGAACTTCCATAGCTAAATGATGAACGTCTTGACCGCGAACGTGAAGATGTGCGTCCTTGATCTGTCCCCCTGGACGAATAGATCGAGTCACTATCAGACTCACGACCACTGGCAACATCGAGCCACTCAGAGTCAGATAGGCTTTCTACTTCAGAAAGTGTTGAATTGTCAGTGGGTTCATGTATATGGGCAGGTGAGTGCTTGGGTTGTAAAGGATCCATGGTGATCGTTCAATTGAAAGGGGTGGAGGGCTTTTTATTGCCGCTTGCACGCTTGATTGACTCAATTAGGGTGAAGTAGGCAGGCCACTCTCACGCAGCATGCTGCGGTCTTTGAATTACCAAGTGGTCTTACATACATATCCTTGGGGCTATGCAGCATCGAAAATCCGAAAATCCTCTCCTTGAAGGCAGAAAGCTTCGAGTATCCCATCACAATCCTGCTGATAACTGTCACGGACGTACTGATTGCGATTTTTTTCATGTCTGACTAGACGTAGAGAACATCATTATTCTGTCTTTGGCTCACGGTGAGTCATACGCAATGTTCCAGTAGCCCCACGTTGAACATGCATGGCCAAACACGTAGACGTGTCGTGGTCTGCAGCATACTATAGGATCCGCAGACTTGCTGTTGAACTAGGGGATTGCCGTCGTGCAATCGTGGGCGCCCTAGTCTCCCCTAGTCATAGACGAAGGGAGACCTTTCTCATAAAGTGGATGCCCTCGATTTTGGAAATACTCCCAGGCTGAAATGGCTGCTAATTTTTCAAAGCGACCTAAGCTCGCGGCCGGCGGTCGTGAGCCATCATGCATCATGCTGCGATCACATTTCAATAAAAATTCCGTCGTTCCATCGAATTCTATCCTACTTTTAGGGATAAAATCACAATTACGCTTGGCTCGAGCATTGATGGTTACGAGTAAGTTTCGTGCTCACCCCTATGCCACCTTATAAACATCAAGGGTTAAAGCAGTGTAGGAGTGAGCTATGGTGGATGTTTGGTTACACTTTGACTTTGCCGCTAAGTCGCACGAATTTTCAAAGTCTGATCAGTGTTTGGTTTGGGTATTGTCATCTACTTCGTTTTGAGTTTATGTGATGTATACGGTGCTGTTATTGGCAAAACCAGTGGTGCCTGGTCCGTGGTAGAACTCACATGAAGGGAGAGTTGCCAATCAGTAAACTATGTACCTGTAAGAGCTGTACAGTGTCACGGGGTCATAGCTTGGTCATCCCAGTGCCACACTCATTGGAAAACATCAGTTCCCAAGCTAAAAGAAATTCAGAGAACTGGCAAAAAGGCCAGAGTCTCATACTCTGTTTCTTATTGTTTACCAACTTGTGAGGGATGAATAATAGTAGTTTTAGCACTCAATCAGAAAAATAAATTTGACAAGTGAAACATGCCTGGGTACACTGCACTCTCTTTGTACTAAAAGTTTAAACACTTGTATTTCTCTAACTGGTACTGAAGTACAAAATTTGAGTAATAGATTACTCATTGATTGCCTAGAGGATGTGCATCAATAAGTAGACTCAGTGCCTGACTTATTTTTCAGTAATTTGGCTTGCATCATACCAGCTTTCAGCATCAGTTTCTCCACTTTCCATTGCTTTTGCATCCCACTCGCATGTTCAATAGCTAGTAATCTTCCTTCTACTACAAATTTTAGCGTCATACTCCTCCTCGAGTCGAATGGTGAACTGATTCAAACCCCTGTACAGATGACGAGAAGCTCGTCTAACGTAAGCCACGTGATGCGTTGAAAGCATAAATTTACACTGCCACTGCAATCGTGATCAGCTACTAGTAGAGTCACCACACCAGTGACCAGCATTGACACGGCTCACGACGTTTGTTTTTGACAACTTTTCACGAACCCTACTCATTTTTAAAAATCTTCGGCTTTTATCAAATCTCCTCGTGTTCCAAACCAACTGACCGCGAGCATCCGGGGACGTGCCGTGTTTGGTAGACGATTCAGCTACAGCAATGGAAGAAGAAATTCCCCATTATGTGGAGGCAATTTGCATTGCGTCTGAACCCTCTCAAAGTCATCTCCACCAGCAGGCCTTTGAGTATCTATCCAACCTCCGCCAAAATGCGAACGAAACGTGGCGACTGGCCTTAACAGCGTTCACGGGCATGACCTCGGAGGGTAATAAATACCCCGAATCAGTCAGGTTCTATTCTTTGCGCTTGCTAGATGAGTTCTTTGACAATCGGTAAGTGCTTTTGGTTTCATTTGCAGGTTGAGGATATTAAACATGACAACCCGCCTTTATTTTCATATATAATGAAGTTGGAATGGCTCTGATTTATTGCTTATCTTACAGGTTCGAACCTCTTGATGAAGACTCATTTCGTACTCTGCAACAATCCCTGATATCTTATGTACAATCTGAATATGTTTATGGCTCGGCTGAATCTAATGCATCATGTATGAGCTCGTCATGCATCGATCCTTTCAGAAACATTCACAATGACTTACAGATCTTCGCAACAAGTTCTCGCATACACTCACATTATTCTTCCTATGCACATACGTCGAACAGTGGCCAACATTCTTCACCGATCTTTTCTCTCTTATTCGTCTCCCCGAGTCTCCATCCCAGCCACAATTCAATCGCCACGTCTCGCTTCTCCTTTTCCACCTCATATCGGAGATCTCTGGTGAAGTTGCAGATCAAACAATCAAGTCTGCGAGGACATTCAACCCTATTCGGCATACGCGAGACTCTCGCGTCAGAGATGCTGTTCGAGAGCGAGATGCGCCGTTGATCAATGAAGCGGTATTGACGATTATTGTTGATGGGACGGAACGGTTGGCGTTACTCAGAAAAACGACAACATCTTCGCCCGAGCTTTCCGAGGCTCTAGAGATAGTCGATTGGGGCATTAGGACGTTTGGTTCGTACGCGGGTATGTGATCAGTTGTGACCATCAGACTTTGTGCTCATGATAGTCAAAGGGTGGATTGATATCAATTTGACTATCACACCCATAACTATACCTCTCTTGTTTTCACTGCTCCCTGACCCTAATCTGGCTATTCGCCTTGCAACATCAACAGCCTTGCTGCGCATTATAGCAAAGGGTCTCAAGGAACCAGAAGACAAGCTGCAGCTCGTCAAGGTATTGGCCCTCGGTCAAGTGATCGACGCGCTCGAATCAAAAACAAGTGCAGAACAAGTTGCGCGAGGATCCAACGAAGATGAAGGGGAAGAGTCTTACCGGGAGGCCCTCGGCCGCCTGCTGAATGTCTTGGGCCTTGAGCTGTCAAAGCTGACCGAAGTGGTGGGTTTGATCCGGAGCTTTTGGCACTTCGGCCGGCTAATGATTTTGGATAGGAAAGCGAAAAACCTGAGGTTGCGGCAGATGCTACGCGTCTGTTGGAGCAGATTCTACCCGTCATGCTGCGATTTATGTCAGATAAATATGATGACACGTGCTCGACAGTATTTCCCTTGCTGCAGACCATCCTTGCAAGTGTGAGTCCATATTTACTATAACGACCCCTGCTGCAAGACTGATCATTATTTCAGTACAAGCGCTCCCGAAAGGTATCCACGGATCCGCTTGAAGAATCGAAACGATCATTCCTCGTGTCTTTGCTCCAAGTCATTATGCAGAAGATGAAGTGGGACGACGAAGAAGATCCTAGCGACTTGGACGATGATGATTTTAGTGCATTTGAAACCCTACGCAAGGTTGCTTTGATGTCACCTGCCGCTTCTAGCCCGTTGACTTTCTTCTAGGATCTCAAATTGTCGATGGATGCCGTGTTCACAATTGACCAAGATCTTGTGACTAATGCGGTCAGAACAATGTCCTTGCAGACCTTGTCAGCCTACCGCAGCGGGATGTCGCTTAATTGGAATGACGCTGAACTGGCAGTTTATCTCGTGTACATCTTCGGCGAGATCGTGAAAAGTATGGGATAATTTACCGTGATTACTCAAGCCTCATCTCACGACTCAATTTTACAGCTGGAGGGAAGGGCCGTGCGGCCTTTTGCGTCGCTCCTCTCGTGCCAAAAGAGAAACGCCGCGAAGTCGATTATTCTGAATATCCGTTGACCCCTCATGGGGAGATGTTACTGGCTCTGGTACAGAGTGGTATATCTGCATTCCCTCACCGCTTAGTTGCCATGCAGTTTTTTGAAACCGTGGCCCGTTATGGAGATTTCTTTAAGATCCGTAAAGAGTGCATTATGCCGACACTCGAGGCCATTGTTGATACTCGGTAGGCACGAAGCGACATGCGATGGTGTTACATTACTGATATACATGGTTTAGGGGACTCCACAATCCAGACAGCACAGTTCGATCGCGGACATATTATCTTTTCCACCGGTTCATCAAAGAAAGCAGAAACGACATTTCCGAGGAACTTGCAGTCAACCTCGTGCAGGGCATCAGGGATCTGCTGACTATCCAAGTAGACCTACCAACCCTTGATAGTCCCGATGACGATCTCTTAGCGGAGGCGATAAAAAACCCTGGATTGTTCGACTCGCAGCTCTATCTGTTTGAGACTTTGGGCACACTCATGTCCTTGGTGTCAAAATCTCCTGATCAGCAAGCGGGCATGTTACTCTCGATCGTGACACCGCTACTAGATGAGCTTTCTTCAAATTTGACAGTGGCAAAAGGGGGGAAGGATCCCATCCCAATCCTTCGCATTCATCACAGTATTATGGCGCTCGGCAATGTTGCGAAAGGATTTCCAGATTATCCTTCTCCGGTGCCGGAGGGATATTGTCTTCCATCGTTAGACGTGTTTCAGCGGGTTGCTCAGGCTATTTTATCATGTCTGGAGGCCATGAACGTTTTCAAAGACGTGCGCGACGCAGTAAGTTGGTATTTTGTTCTTAACACATGCCAGGCTGATCATCTGTAGACGCGACACGCATTTGCGCGAATCATTGCCACGACAGGATCCAGTGTTACTCACTTGATCCCACCTTTGATGGCCAACCTTCTTGCACAGTTTGAACCCTCTGAGCTCGTCGACTTCATGAACTTCATCGGGTTGCTTATTCACAAGCTTCAGGTGAGGATTGCACTCACTTGTACGTTCATACCTGACTTTATGCCAACAGAACGAGCTTTTCAATGTTCTGGACGAGCTCATTGGACCTCTGAGCGCCCACATCACCCAGCTTCTCAATCAGCCCGTTACAGGTACTGATGACAGTGTCGAACATGCAGAAACTAAGCGTGCCTATCTGACGTTGTTGACCAACGTCATGTCCTCCGATCTTCATGACATTTTTATCTCTGATCGTGAGTTTTCGAGTGACTGTTGTTGTGGGTTGGTCTCAAATTTGTGCAGGAAACAAGGCCACTTTCGAGCCCCTGTTGATCAGCATGAGTCGATTGGCAGAAGATATTTCGGACTCGAGTAGCCAGAAATCTGCTTTCGCATTCCTTAGTCGCTGTGTTCAGGTCTGGTGCCGACCAGCTACAGCAGCTGACGGCCAAGCCCAGGGTGTACCCGGCTTTGAACGATTTGTTTACGAGCGTCTCGTTCCCACAGCCTTCGTGGTGCTTTCATCACCCCAGTTTAATATTAAGGATGGACAGATGATGGTTGTATGTACCGATGTAGCATCTGCCGCCCACTTCATATCTAACATCCGAATTAGGTTCTATTGGAAATTGGCAACTTCCTCCAGATAGTCTGCAAAACTAGAGGACAAGAAGCACAGGATTTCTTTTTGTCTGCTTTCCTTCCTTCACAAGGCTGGCCATCAGATACCGCCATGGAGTTCACGGGCAAACTTCGAGACCTTGATAACAAGGCATTTCGGAAGTACTTTGCTGATTTCGTTCGTTCATCTCGATCGCAGGCTTCCTCGTAGCATGTCAGGGTTTCTCGTTCATTTGTTTCAGTAATTGCATCCACATTTATCGCAAGAATGAATAAATATTTTATGTGGCCCAAGAATATCACCCGTTTGTGTTCGAAGTTGCTTGTGGGATGTTTGGCAACAGCTTCTGATTTCAATAGAGGCAACTATTCCCGAAATAGCAGTCGGAGAGTTATACTGAAGTCACGGTACCATCCAAGAAGGAACAAGTAGTTGATCCTCCTTCTATGGTCTGCCTCAAGGGGAGCCTACAATTACTGCTGAACTACTGCGTGAACGATGGCTTCTAGTGGGTCACGTACCTTCGACTGCAAGGAATTTACTGAGCTGGTTGATTGTCAGCACGCCGCACAGTAAAGACAAAAATCGTGCGTGTTACATTCCGCCAGCCATTCATTCCTGACGATAAATCTTTTGGATAGAAACCGCCCCGAAAGGTAAGCGATCTGTGAAACAAAAGCTGCTCGTAATTGATAAGCCATCTCAGCACGAATCAGAAGTATCATTGGATGAAACTTGGTCCCGCCTCTCCACGAATATCCGTGAAATCCACAACCAGAATGCATCAAACCTTTCATTCGAGGAGAACTATCGCTACGCCTACAACATGGTACTGTATAAGAACGGTGGCATATTATACAAGGGAGTCTGCCAGCTGGTGGCAGAGAATATCGATAGGTTAGCACAAAGCGAACTCGTCCCTGCTTTCCCCAGTGGCAGCAGCAAGGATCCTGTACAACAAAGTCAAGAGGGAGAGTCGCTACTGAAGGCTCTCAGGCGTGTATGGGACGATCATACTGGGAATATGTTGAAACTTCGAGATATTCTCAAGTACATGGTGAGCATTCCATCGATATACCCACTAATTACTCACGCGAAAGCGTCCATAGGATCGCGTCTATACGAAGGCTAACGATGTCCCAGAAATCTGGGATGCTGGCCTAGATCTCTTCTTGAAGCACATCATACGACCCCCCATACAGGACCATGTCACCTCCGCAGTCCTTAGCTTAATCCAAATTGAGCGTGATGGATATGTCATCAGCCGCTCTGTGGTAAAGGAGTGCGTCGATGTCCTTCTGCAGCTGAGCGTCGATCATGACGCCAAAACCGTCTACAAGCGGGATCTAGAGCCGGCTGTGCTTACAGCCAGCGAAGCATTCTATTCCGCTGAAGGTAAACAACTTCTGGAGACTTGTGATGCACCAGAGTATCTGCGAAGAGTATGTATTCTTTCCACCCAAAGGATTCAGGTTACCCTCATAATGTGCAGGTCGAGGCACGTCTCGATTCGGAACAAGCGCGAACTTATCATTACCTCTTCTCCCAAACTGGTGGCCCTCTCCGAAAGATTCTCGAGCGCCATTTATTAACACATAATCTGTCGACTGTTATCGGTATGCCCAATTCTGGCCTTGATGTCATGGTAGACCTCGATAAATTTGACGATCTCAACCGCTTGTACCGTCTATTTCTCATGGTTCCTAGTGGATTGCCTACCCTCAGAAGGTCGTTCAAGGATTCCATCTTACGGAGAGGAAGAGAGATCAACCTTGCTTCCACCAGCATTGACACTGGCCAAGACATGGACGATGGAGACCTTAATGATACTGAAAACACGAAAGGAAAAGACAAGGGTCAGGGTCGCACAGCTATGGGCCCTCCGACATTGACACTGGCCCTGAAATGGGTACAGACTGTGCTCGATCTGAAGGATAAATTCGACTGCATTTGGACGCGAGCATTCGATAACAATCGAGAAGTGGAAAGCTCTCTAAATGAGGTCAGCATTCTGTTTTATAGTTCCTATATATCCTAATGTATGTCACAAGGCATTCGAAGACTTCATCAACCTAAATGAGAAGGCACCAGAGTACATATCGCTCTTCATCGATGAAAACCTCAAGAAGGGCCTCAAAGGCGTTAGTAACCCAACTCCCCTGATTCTCGCGCTCATCGATTCTTTTCAGAAAACCGATATGGAGGTCGATGCTGTCTTGGACAAGACCATCACGGTTTTCCGGTACATCACGGAGAAAGACGCTTTCGAGCGATACTACAAGAATCATCTTGCCAAACGGTTACTACTTGGCAGGTCGGTCTCCGATGATGCTGAAAGAGGCATGCTGGCAAAGCTCAAAGTTGAGTGCGGGTACCAATTCACTCAAAAGCTGGAGGGCATGTTCCATGATATGAAGATATCCGCTGATACTATGCAAGCCTACCGCAAGTACCTTGAAGGCGTTTTGGTAGGAGCAGTGATCTCGTCTTACTGTGTTTATTCAATGGACGTTTAGGCACCTGAAGTGGAGATCTCCGTGACCGTGATGACGTCGACTTTTTGGCCCATGTCGCATTCTAGTGCATCTTGCATTTTCCCTGAAGTCCTAATCAGAGCTTGCAAGTCATTCGAGCATTTCTATTTTTCCCGCCACTCAGGGCGGCGCCTCGCATGGCAACCCTCACTCGGAAATGCCGACGTTCGTGTTCAGTTCAAGGCCAGGAAACACGATGTTAACGTGTCGACATTTGCACTCGTGATCTTGCTGCTTTTCGAGAATTTGACAGACGATGAGTTTCTTACATATGAGGTGCGGGTTCTCACTAGCTTGCGATGCTTGGATCTATCTGACACTTTTGATCAGGAACTGAAAACTGCTACTTCAATTCCAGATACTGAGCTTCAACGGCACTTGCAATCCCTAGCATGTGCAAAATTCAAGATTCTCAAGAAACATCCCCCCGGACGAGATGTTCATCCATCGGACTCATTTTCGTTTAACAATGATTTCACATGTCCGATGCAGAAGATTAAAATTAGCACAGTGTCCGCCAAGGTGGAAACTACTAAGGAACGGAGAGAAACTCGCGATCGTATCGAAGAGGAAAGACACCATCAAATCGAGGTGAGGCTTACAATCAGTCTTATCATATCCCATGAACTCTGATGTCCACCGCTTAGGCGTGCATCGTTCGCATCATGAAAGACAGAAAGCACTTGACTCATAACGACCTCGTTAATGAAGTCACTCGACAACTTGCCTCTCGATTCCAGCCCAACCCTCAGAATATCAAGAAACGAATTGAGGGATTAATTGATGTGCGTAGCATTGCTCGTTTACTGTGCATGTTCTTATACAACTGGCACAGCGAGAGTATCTTGAGCGCTGTGAAGATCGCAAGTCTTATAATTATCTTGTACGTGTTTGTGATCTTTCCGTGTTTCCTCATCTCATCGTTACCGTTCAGGCATGAGGCATGGATTCATCACCAAATATTATACGAGTCATCCCGCACAATTTGTGCAATCCTTCTGGATGACAAGTGGATAATTATATATATTCACCAGCTAACATTTACGCAAGGTCGTGGGGGCGGCTCAACATGGTTGTACCAGCACTTGGAGTCTCACTTCTTGCACACACGTTTACAATGAGATGCAAATGCATTGCTACATACTGCTATACTTGACAAAGCAACATGTAGGCTCTGACGGGAAACACAATCAAAGAGTTCGAAAGTGTGTCCATCAGAGACTGTCGTCCTGGGTTAATTGATTTGAAGGTAACTTCATGGGAAAACACCCATGAGCAAACACGCGCTCACAACCTACACCACGCTATGACGTAGCAATGCCCGCCGCGTACGAGCATGCACATCACCATGGCTGCAGGCCAAGGCACATGTCAATAACTAGCTGAGATGATGTCAACAAGATGTCATACTCCATGAGGTCTTGGCTTACCGAAGGCCAGCTTGAAAAGGCTGCCAACAACTTGAACATCTGCAGACGAAGGTAAACACACTTCATCCACGATTCGCCCAAAATCCACTGCAAATTTCATGAGATTTGCTCAAGATCCTGACAATGTCAGACCAACCGTGATGCAGACAAAGGGCCACTCTGCCTGGACTATCTTCCAAAGACTATCCTGGCTAACAGATACGCTCTCCTATTGCTCGATACTTTCGCAGCGTAGGGACTAGCACTTAACAACGGCTTCACAGGATCACTGTGAAACGTTCAGTCAAAGGACTAGGATGCAGAGACATAACCAACCTCGTCCATGCCGAAGGGGTCCGGAACCAAAGGAAATAAAAGCGATTCAGCTTATCTTATATATGCAACCTAGCCTTAGGGCAGGTTAGAAACACCGGACCCCGGCCCAAAATACTTGATATGGGACACTTTCACACAAACTGATGACGGAAAAAATATAAATTACGAAAAATATATCTAAAGCTCATCTCTATCGCGGTGACTTGGTCCGTAAAACGCCTCGACAAGTTCTACGAGATGCAATCAAAACGATGAACCATACCACGGCAAGGTTGAAATATCACTTACTTCGACGAATGTCTGAGTGGAGTTCAACAGGTAACACAACATTGTACTCTATAAAGAGGTCGCCGACACTGTCTGTCTGATACAAGGGCATCCCCTCGCCCTCTATGGTTTGAACATGACCTATGATTAAGTTGAACACCACCCTCATTGGCTAGACGAATAAACGATAGCAGCTCACCAGGTTGGGTCACTCCTTGGCGATCTATCTCGATGACGTGACCATCGAGATGCGTGATATTGCGTTGGAATCCGAGGAGTGCCTATAATTCAAGTAGGCACAATAAATTATCGGAGACGGCGACATCAATTGGGCTTACCTGGTCAATACCAATGGTCTCCCGCCAGTACAGGCTGCTCTCCTTCCGTCGCCAAGCACCTTTCTCCTTCTTACTTCGTACTCTCAAAACAACGTCGCCGGCCTCCCAGTCTGGACTCTCATCTCCCTCTCCATCAAATACAACATCAAAGCCTTCTGGTGTACCTGGTTTCAACTCCAAAGTATACTGTTGCGTGTGCTCGACCACCTTCTCCCCTTTGCAGTGTGGACATTGTTTCTTGATAATTCTTCCACGGCCACCGCAATCGTTACATGTCGACTGCGTTTGTGCAAACATGCCGGGGAATATTTGCTGCTTGAAGGTTTTCACGCCAGATCCACCACATCCTGAACAAGTATGAATGTCACCGTCCGATGCAGCGCCTGAGCCGCGACAGTGGTCACAAAGTATCTTTTTCCTCATCGTGAACTAGTGGGTGAAGAATCAATTCAACTGAGTAACAATGCGAAAGGCCAAGTCAAGACGAACGTCAATATTGGCACCCATATACCTGCGCGGCTCATCAGTTAACCATTGCAGAAATGCGGAGATGAGCTTACATATCTGCAAGTGAAACCTCGAAATCAATTATAACAGTTTGTCCACGACGCACTTGCTGCTGTGTATTGACTACATACTGATCAGCGCAAAGAGGTAGCGGCAAGGAGCTGTAAACCCACAAGCACCACCGAAAACGTTGGAAAATATATCGAAAGGATTGGCGTGATGTTGTTGTCCACCTTCGTGCGCTTTCAACCCTTCCTATAAGTGAAACGCGTGTTCATATCCGAATGAATATATGATGAGTCGATGCTAGACTCACTTCACCATGCCTATCATAAATTTGGCGTTTCTGAATAATTTTGAGCAGACTATAAGAAAGGCTTGAGACTTTTGCGCACCGTGGAATCTGAAAGGACTTCGTATGCTAATGCAGTATCATGAGGATGCTATTCTGTGGAAACGGGTGCAACTTAATTTACCATGAGCGATATCAACAAACTTCTCCTCTGCCCCTGGATCCGTATTTTTGTCGGGATGATACTGCTTGCTTAACCGCTTGTATGCTTTACGGATATCCTGCTCCGATGCATGTTTGGACACTAAATGCCGAGTATATCAGTCAGACGCGAGTCAAGACCAGTTGGTACACGCCTTGGACTGACGCTCAAGAATTGTGTATAGATCGGTTGCGCTGACAAGAACAGCAAAAAGTAGCCATAGAATGGCTATGTATGAAGCCAAGTGCATTGCGGACCGAGGCCTTCGAGTAAGGGAGGGTGACAGAAGTTTGACGGCAAGATGCATTTTCAATTAAGTTACAGTACACGTATATCGCACAAGGGTCACGTGGCATATAGCCGACTTTCCTTTTCCGGGGAGCATGGTCATTGACATTGCACGGTCTAAAAGCTTTTTTGTCCAGGAGCACTGATGCTGCAACGACGAGCAGGGGTTATTGCGCGTGATCTCAACCGCACGTCTTCTCCGCGAAGCTACTCACAAATCATACCGCAATATCACCCAAAAGTCAGAGGTCACCTGCATTCGTCTCGTACCCGCTGCAGTCCGCTGACTGACATGTTTCAGCTATTCCATTCGCGTTTTCAAAGGAGGCTGCCATCAGACATGTTGGTGTAGCTGCTTCCGCAGGTTGCTTCTTCCGCGATTTCGTTGGGTCGCTCGGTGCAAAGTATATAGGTGGAAACTTTCAGCCAATTCAACCCATCCGCATTCAACCTGTCTATTTTCCTGCTTGGTTTTTGGATGCAGAAGTCGAGTCATACTTGACTGATGAAGACGATGAACGGCAGGTATATTCAAGTACCTCTTCCTGCTACATTTATTCAAGCGGGAGCATTGCAGCGAATCGTGACCGCGTATTTCAACGACTGGTATACTAGTTCATTTATCAAACTTCTTCTAAGTTAACGAATCGCGTATAGTTACTTACCAGGTACAATCTTCCACACCAGGCACGCCAGCGAGGTTAATCACTTTCATAAGGCGCTACATTTGGCCTGCTTGGGAGGCTTGCTCTCCGAAATGACCAAGTAGAACCTGCCTTGGCCGTTCCATTTTCTCAGAGCCTCACACATCAACACGGTTCTGATGTTATATGCATGCCTTACACTATCAGTCCACTCGACGTTATTAGCAGTACACGGTCTTCGTCCTTCACTCATGCTACTAGTGATGAAGATCATGATGCGCGTTTTGAGCCACGCTTCATAAAAACCAATATAGTATGTCATCTCACCTGATGCATCCCTTTCCCCCTCACCCCAGAAAAGGAAGCTGCCTACCCAGTCCTAATACCGCTTTATCTGGTTCAATTTCCAATGGTCCAACCATTTGAGTCCACGTTCGTCATAGAAGCATACAGTCAACCCGTATGTCTTTTAAAAATCGAATTCCATAATACTGACGATATTCTACATCCAAGGATCGGTCTTTCATCCAAGTTTCCAATGCTCCCGAACTACCAGAAGAACAACGGTTTGACTTGGAAAAATATATTGGTTATGACTACTTGTTTTTAGGTGATACTCCATCATCTCATGCGAAGACTCGAGTCCTCGCTCCAAAGTATGATAGAAACGCATCTGAAAATGTTGCATCGTGGTTCGACGGACTATTTAGCGAGCCTGGTGGTGCAGAGAAGCTGATACACCCGAAGGGAGCAGTAGGTGTTAACGTGCATATGGATGACCCAAGGGTACGCGAGTGGACTCCTGAAGAGGTCAACTCGATTCGGGAGTGGATGAATCAGGGGCAAGCTATTGTCCAGTTGAAAGATGTGGTCAAGGTTCGCTCTCAGCCTGAGTTTAGATTCGTATACTCATCCGTGATTAGAGTCTTACTTCTATTGAGGACCAGATGCAAAGTGGGTCTGTGAAGGTGATTCAGTGGCCCTCCTCAGATCCCAAGCAGCGATCACAGAATGCCCCTGCTTTCTTGGAGGCTTTCATCAAGGCGGAGCTCGACAAGCTCCAAAAACTGGAGAAGTCCCGTGCCGACACGGCACCGGAGTGGTGGCGGCGAAGAGAGGAGAAACAAACGCTAAAGAAGTGAGCATAGTACCCCAGTATTTTGTTGATATTCACCCTCAGCGTATCAGTCCTTGAATCTTCACGGAATCGTGGATTATGGAGAAGCCAGGGCCCCAAGCACTCACGCAGGGATCGCACCAGACCTCACCTATACACTATTTGCCAATGAATCTGCTTATTTTACTGTCATCCTTGAAAAATTCACTGCATGTTCGCGTACGCCTGGAGAACATTACATCTTACCTAGTGAAATCGTTTATAACGTAGGGTCGAGGTCGACTCGGACACAGACACCCAGTGAAGGATAATATTCATTTCCGTGTCGATTATCATGTTAGGAGCGACAGTCTGGCATATTCTGTTGCGTATGTGTGAGCGACGTAGCCCTCTAGATACACAATATCTGGACGTGCGTGGCACAGACCTATACAGCAAGCAACGTCATAAGGGAAACCCCGATCAATCATAGAGGCGACCACGACAATCCCAGGACAACTGGCCAGCGCGACAAATGAAAGTTCCCTGTAAATCTCGAATTCTACTAGTCACCAGGGCTGCTGGTGTAATTCAAGAACATTGGCACATTTATTCATGCAGATTTAGAAGGAAGGTCACCGGACTAGGGGTTAGACTGAGTGACGGGCTGAGCATTATGTAGAATCACAAGTATCCAGATATCTCACCAGGGTGTTCCACGATGCACATTGTCAGATAAGACACAAGTGCAACACAATATGTATATTTCATTCACAACACAAACGATGCAAAGTTACAAGCTCCACAGTGAGATACGATATAGCTACTCCCAACTTCCATCCCATGAAATCCAACAGCCATATGTAAGATAAACCAAGCGCTATGGTGAGGTACGATAGCCACGTCCAGCGTGCAATAAAGATAACCCAATAAGCATATAGAAGGTGCGCTAAGCAAGAATGAAAAGAGGGGCGAATGTTCAAAAGGAATGTCGATAATAGAATGAAATGAGTGTAGTTGGTCAAAGAGAGAATATCCAAAAGGAATGTCGGTAATGTGATGAAACGAGTGTCGTTAGCCGTAAAGAGAATATTCAAAAGGAATGTGGGTAATTGAATGAAACGAGTATCGTTAGACGTAAAGAGAAGTTGTTTCAGGAATCGCAGTTAACACTAGAGCACGCAAATAAGGAGTAACATTAGCAGCAGCGACATATGCGGGATAAGGGGGACGTACATATTCAGGCAATATCCTAGGTCGTGTTCTTCGCAGGAACGATATACCCAGAAACCGACTTGATCATCGCTTGGGGACAGAATGCGTACTTCCAGTGCTCAGCGTGGGCTCTGCTATTAAGCAATGGTTTGCACGTCTTCTGATGCCGAGCCGCAGCATCGGTCCTCGACGACAGCTTCTGGCAATAGGGGCATCGGTAGGATGTAGCGAAGTGGACCCCATCGATGTGACGGCCCAGTTTTTGCATCGCCTGTGGGTCCGAGCAATGTTCGAATTTGCAGGGAGTTTCTTTCTTGGCTTCAACACCATGCCAAAACCACAGATGGTCTTCGATCCGGGCCTTGTTCACCTCTATGAAAAGACCGCACGGCTGGTCGGTCCAATCGCATGAGCGTACGCAGGTCAATTCTGGTGAGGAGTCCTTCGTAACGTTGCCAGATCCATCGGGGTAATGATCATCCAGTTCCATCGCCCCAAATCTCCTCGTTCGAAGGAGATTGCCGTTAGGATCATGGGTCCTGCGGTTGCTAATGTCGACAGGCTTTGGGTCGTGAAAAGGCATGGCCATGACCGTGGCGCTGGCGTCCGCTAGCATGTACGGACCAAACTTGCCTGGTCTGCAGTCATCGGTGGCATTCGGGCGTCTGCGCTTGCGCGTAGTTGGTTGAACAGACGAATTCAAGCCATCCTCAGATTTAGAGGTCTGGCGGGTTCTACGTTTGCGAGGCCTAGCAGATGCCGTCCCATCGAGAGCAGAGGAAGTTGGCTCCATGCTTGAGCCCCCACTAGATGCCGTCTGCAAGAGAGCATATTGACCTTGGGGGAACGCCGCAGTTGGGTGATACGCGTTGGACGGACCCGGGATGTTATGAGGTTGCTGGTAAGGGTAGGAGGGAGCGGGATGATATCCATACTGGGGCGGTGCTGGAACGACTGCAGAGGGCTGCGAATGATACGCACCAGGGGGTCCATTGGCATGATATCCAGGATTGTATTCAGGCTGGGGCCAAGCGTAGCCTTGCGAAGGTGCTGGGGCGACCGGCGGTGGCTGCAAATAATACGCACCAGGAGGTCCATTGGTGTGATATTCAGGATTATATCCATGCTGGAATAATACGGGGCCTTGAGGCGCGACAGAGGGTTGCAGATAATACGCGCTTGGAGGTCCGTTCATGAAGTAGCCAGGGTCATATTCATGCTGGGGCCATTCATTGCCTTGCGGGGGCGCTTGAGGGACAGTCTGCGGAGGGTAGTAGAGCCCTTGATCGATGTGGGACAACTGAGGGAGATCAGCCACCGGGGGGGTAAAATTCTCCAATGTCGGAAACGACGCCTGAGGATTTTGAACGAATTGTAGATCGTCCCAAGTCCTGAAGAACCAAATAAGTAATGATAATGGCCAGGGCTCAGTTGCGAGTGCACGTACCCTTGTGGCGCCACTGGTAATCTGTCGTAGTTTGATCTGTCGTTGGACGTGAGTTGCTTGACCCAGGTGGTAAGCTAATTAGATTGACTGACCCATCATCATAGGCATCGGCTGGGCCTGCCAGCGCATTTCCGTTAATCATTAATTCCTCGCTGTGTTTAAACAATCTGTCGAAGACCGTGAGTTCGAGTAAATGATTTGAACGAGGTAGAACCACGTACGCATCCAACTGTGCGCGCACTTCGGGAGACGTCTCATCGCTTTGGTGAGCTGCGATCAACTTGGCTGTGTCTTCTTCGGACAACGGAACGAAATCGGAGTCGCCAGGGAGCGGCACATGGTCATCCAACACAGTCAGAGACTCGCTAAGAAAATGATGAGATGAAGCGCGTCATCGAGCTCGAGATTAAACACAAACCTATCGAATGGCGTTTGAAGGTTGTAACACGAGGAACTAGATGTGAAAGGTGTCGTTAGCATATAAAGATATCGATCTGACGTGCGAGTAGGCTCACATAGACATATCAAATAATTGAATAAGTAAAGAGGCTAGGATAAAGAGATGCAGTTGGAAAGTAAAGACGAAGATGAGAGAAGTAGAGCAGAGAACGATGCCGATTTTATACCTCACGACGGGCGGGGAAACGATAGACAAAGCACGACTGTGGTCGTGCATCAAAGCCATCCATCTAGCATTATCCCCCGACATCACGTTGTGAAAAGGCAAGCGTCTGTGGACACTTCCCTATAGGAGACGCGCCTGTGGGATTTCGCTTCTTTGTAGCATCACGCTTGCATCAGTCCACAAGAACACAAACATGCACTGACCCTTGATAAACTTAGAATGTGATGATCAAGGGAGTGCCCATACTTCTCCACCAGAGGGTGACATCACATGTGGAAAAGTACAACTCCGATCACGATCCAATTATGGGAACAACGGTATTCTCGCGGACTCAGTGCATCGTCGCGGCACACTCGACCACAACCCAACCGTGAACTTTGGCAGCGGCACCTGTTTAAGACAGTGGGAAGCAAGCTTGATCACAAGAGGGTAATTGATACATTATAGCGTGGTAGAGACACGGCAGGGTGCGTCACGGTAGAATCACAGAGGTCTGAAAGTTTTGATGTGTAAGGCTAGTCGCATTTTTTATTTGCAAACGTGGAAAGACGCTTACCTTTGGTGTCCACTGCGTCGTTACCCAGCGTAGTTCTTACCTTTGATGCGGTGGGAATGGAGGGAGTGATATAGTGTAACCACTCGAAGCATACCGCAATACCTTTGAGATGGAAACTATGGTTCCACCTTAGGGTTTACATGTAGGTTCTACGTGCTGACTAGCAACTTAACGGAGAGGGAAAAGCAAATAATAGCCCAATTGTGATGCAAGAAGAGAGCAGTGTTCTCTATGCTAGACCATCCGTTAACAGTTATAGTACTGAGGAAAATCACATATCGGTTTGAGATAGGCTCAGATAGCCATTGATATCAACAATACACGATTATGATGTCTTTTTCGAGCTGCGCGCATAACCCAAGGGTTGCATTTATATTAGAATTTGCCGTAGCCAGTTGTGCCAAACCAGCGCATGAGAGCAGAGTTCAGAAGACGAAGGTAAGCGTTGTTTTGGTCTGTTGTGCAAAGGCTTCGAGGAGTTTCCTTATTTCGAAACCCTCCAGCACTACATCAACAAAAGAACAGTTCGCGTGTATGGCTGGTTACTGCCTTTTATGGCTTACAAACCCTGGTAGATGATTGTATGAGATTGTAGCACATATGCAAGTAGTAACAGACACGTATAAGATGTAAAACTTGTACCGGAAGTGTGCGAAGCTTGTACAGTAACAAACAGAAATGTGGAGGTATGCATGAGATTGTAGCCTGTATACAAGTCTTAGCAGACACGTACAAAATGTAAGGCTTGTACACGAGGTGTGCGAACTTCGGTCTCCTACACAGCGTCAGGACGCTCAAAGTTGGGGGGGCTCACGTCACCCACGCATACCGCCCATACAAGGCATCACTCTTTTGGTCATTTATAACACTCTACCTGTTACAGTTTTGCAAATCGCTATTCTCTCATCGTCTACTTGCACACTGAAATACACCTATACTCCAAAAACGTTAGTCGAATCTTGTAACTGATTTTGCCGCATATCCCAGAAAGACACCATTAATCATCTTCGTCTGTCGCCATCGTCCACAAATTGTCTGACACCACCCGCCATAGACCCCCATGTATTCCATGGAACGTGACACCTTTGAGCCGGGGTGCCATCGCATGCAAGAACCGTGAGATTGACTCCGTCAGCTCTGGCGATGAGGGCATAGGGCGCACTGTGGGGCACGCGATGGGCCGAGGCGACTCCCCGACTCCCAGTTTGATCAAGCGACTGTTAGGTTGCAGACCTACTTTGTCGTTGCCGACATTTTCATTATCTCTATTTCTGACCGCATCGACCCGCACGTCCATGCAGAGCGAGACCTCGCGCAACTCGCGACAACGCCTGACGAGAATATTCAAAGCATACAAGGACACGAGGGTATTACGTAGCCCCAAGTCAAGAATGTGGAGATGAGGACATATACGAGCGAGCGTGAGGATGTCGACGTCGGTGAGTACGATGGAGGTTGTGCGGCTGGGAGAAAGTATGAGGGTACTGAGGCGTGCAAGACTCGGGTGGGCGAGTAGGGGGCGAAATTCGAAAGAGGAGGGTGGGATGGATTGAAAGCCGCATCGCTCGGTTATAAATATGTGCTCTAGTTTCGTGTTTGTATTGGCGAGAGAGGTGAGGAATTGGGACCAGGTGTTGGCGGAACTGTGACCTTCTGCGTTGAACTGGATTGTTTTGAGGTTGGAGAATGTGATGGAAGGATTATTGGAGGAACCGAAGTTGAGGATTTGGAAGGTGCGTAAGAAATACATGAAAAGGTCCAGATTGTCATCGCATAAGATGTGCAGGTGAGTGAGTGCGGAAAAAGGCTGGGGGATGTGGAGAGGTAGGGTAGGAATGCTGTCGATACCTAGCTTTAAAGTGAGGGATCGGAGAGATGGCCAGAGTGCAATGACATTGAGGATGGTGCTCGGGACATAATGCAACTGGCATGTCAATGAAAGTTCTGCAAGACCATCGGGATAGCTGATGAGGAGGGATTCAATTTCGGAGGGATTTTTGTCGGTCATGAAGAGGCTGCCCTTGATCTCAAGAGCTTTGAGGCGAGGGGCGAAGGTAGGGAGTACAGGGATGATGGCTTTGCGAAACGAAGATGAGATGTCGAGGGAGAGGATCTCAACTGTGGGCAAGAGGTGTTTGAGGACTGGGATACAGGTGAGAGAAGAATCACGCCATGCGAGAGATCGTAGCTTTGGAAAGAGCGGTGATTGCTTTTGAGCACATGCAAGGAAGGATGGGTATGCAGTGTCATCTTGACATGGTTGGGAGAGAATCTGTATGCGGGAAGCGAGGATCAATGGACGGTATGTATCAGGTATATTCGGATGAAGCTGGGAAGGTCTGGATGAGAGAATAAGAGGCCAGAAGTTTCTCAGATGAGAATAAAGAAGGTTGAGTGCTAAATCGCGAAATGCACGACAAGTGAGTGCAAGTCGGAAGATGGAACGTCGATCTTGAGTTTCCGGTGACGGTATGAAATCAGGTAATGGGTATGGGTGGAAGAAACGTCGTCGTCGTCCATCGATGAACACAAAATAAAAAATCGTTTCCAGGATCTCACTTATGCAAAGACACTGGTGCATGTCGAGAGTGCATCAGCCACAATTACTGCAACCCGATAGAGTTGTCGTAGAGTTAGCGCTTATACCGGAATGGCAAATGTGCAAATCCCTACGGGCTATCAGGTGACTGTTCGGGGTGGGCAGTGCTAGTCAGGAGCGGGTTAGATATTTGCGACCTTTATAGGCTGGTTAGGGTGATTTACTTTGTGTACGAATAGGCAAACCGGATTGAAGATGGTTCGCGGCTCACAAGACATATTGACGATTAGTCAGCAGCTGTCCATCTATAACCTTTGTGGGCAAAGCTTGAGACTAACGCCCGTAATCCATGACGCTTCATCCAATCTGCAGCTCTGAACCCGGTCGACGACAAGATCAAGGGCACAGTGATATTCGTGACCCATCCATCACCCTGCCGTTCTGGGAACGGACATTGCTGGCATTGTCGAGGAACTAGGGAAGGCGTTGACAATTTCCACAAAGACGATAGAGTGTTAGACATTTCTTTGTTTCGGGTTTGCCCTTTTCTGTATAGGCTCAACCTTAGTTTACAGAGTGGTACATCGCAAGTTCACTGATGATCTTACTGCGTATCAGCCGCGGTATATCCTGACCGATGCAAGATTTACAAGGGTAAGTTATGGGACGGTTCGTTGATCACATCGTCAGCTACATCCCATTCAAGATTCCTCCAAGTCAATCCTTTGATAGCGCAGCTACTGTTCCTCTGGTCAGATACTGCGCTCGTGACCTTGTAGGGAATCGATTTAGAGCTGGGATAACCTTTCCTTGGGCGAAAAGTGTCGGCGAATGAAAGACACCTATGGTCATCCTTGGCGGTTCTTCCTCGGTGGGTTTATATAGTGAGCAAAATGAGACTCGCTTCTTCTTCACCTGAATCCTGACAGTATTGCAGCTATCCGACTCGCTCGTCTGTCGGGATTTTATCATAACCTTTCCGAGCAATGAGGAGTTTGTCAGGGACTCCGACACAACTCTTTTTTTTTTTTGATCGCAGCCTTTTCTGAAAACTGTTGGCATCCATCAGTAAAGTGACTGACGACCCTATCAAACTTTTTTATGATACCATCTCGTTGCCAGAAACACAGTTTGTTGCACAGAAATTGCTTGTCAACAATAACATCCTTGTATTAACCCCTCGTGCATTAGTCAAGGAAGCTGAAGGTGAGGGGCGCAAGGTCGTTCCGGCCTTCGGCGACAGACCACATGTCCCCCAAAATGAAGGGCTGTGCCGCAGCTCCTGGGTTATGGTCGAAAAGTGGCTCTCAGAGGTACTATAACGGTTTGTTCTGCGGCCACTGTTTTAGATTGATGACACCACACCATGACGCTCGGTTTGTCTTACATATTTATTTCACTATCATCCAGCGCGTGATATCGGGGAATGTTTGGATTAGGCCGGGATAGAGACACTGGTCAAGTATTCATTTCCGTGTCAGTTATCATGTCAGAAGAGGTCAGCATATGCAACTGCGTATATTTAAGCGGCGTAGCCCTAGAGACACGAGAATCGTTCGTTCGGGTGTCATTAAGTATTCGTAAGATATACGTGGCACAGTACAGCAAAACAATGTCAGAGGGGAGAAAATAATTGTATCCATAGAGAACAAAAGCGACAACGACCACTCGCCCCAGTACATAGATAAATTAGTAATTCAAGTAGCTCGGGCTGGTTCCGGAGTACTATGTGTGATGCCAAGAGCCGCAGAAGATCTCAGATGTTTGAGGTGCTGGTTAACCTTGTCCCAATTATTATCCTCGTACCCATGTTTAACTTGTTCGACGCTAGGGAGCATGAAGAAAATGATGCGAGCGATAGCTTCAACATCTTCTATGTTAGAGAAGCCTACGTTAAATTTTTGTAGGGAGGTATGCTGAAATGACTCGGTTTCAGGATCAATATCGATATTGATAGCATCGACGTGTAATTGCAGGGAATCCAAGTGGGGACATAGCCGGAGTCCGTCGAATAATCCGCGGAATGTGATGGTAGGTAGACGAAGTTGGTGATTGGCTAAGGTCATGTAGCAAATGTTTGGCCAACTTGACATTGCTTTCAGGAGAAGGTCATTGTCAAGGTAGACGGGGTAATTTTCAAAAACGAGGCCCAGAGTTCGCAGCTGTGTAAAATGAAGGAATTGTGTGATTGCTGTCAGAGAGTTGTCTGAGGGCTCCTCTTCTGAGTCACCGTCTGAATCAAAGGAGAATATGACGATGTATTCAAGGGTGTGGCCTGCGTTGCATTGTGACAGTGCACGAAAAAGCTGCTCAGCTTGTGCAAAAGGCATGACTTGGACATGCATCTCGAACTGTTGTAGGGAGGGGAATTCTGAGCATTCCAACGTTGTGATAGTGTGTGAAGCCTTTTGTACATAGAAATTGAGGATGGTAACATTAAGGAAAGGTGCAAATTTGAAATCATGTCGGTCTAATGACAAATTTCCGCTACCAATCTCCAATTTGAGAAGGGTGGGGAGGTTGGAGAGGTGGTTCCATGCTTCCCATTCGAGCGGTGGACAACCCAAATGTCTGAGCTGCGTGCATGAACGGATAGTTTCAGACAGCAAGAACGACTCGTCCGCTGTGAGATCCTTAGCATCACCGATGGTTAAGGCCTCCAAAGAAGCACAATGGGTCCCGATAGATTTCAGAGCTGGGTGGATTGCTGATAAATAGAAAAAAAGTAGCGTATGGGACAGGAAGAGGTGCAGATATATGTTATTGGGAGCCTCGACCTGCCATAATAACGACTGCAATCTCGGGAACCATGCACGTCTCAGTAGGGAAGAGTGTGAGGAGGTGAAAATTTCTGTCAGATGATATATCGATTGAGCGGACGCGGAAGGCATGACGCAAGAATTGGCGGGCTTCATGTTCAGATAATGGTTCGATGCCTTCAGACCAGGAAGGCTGTGTTTAGATGCTCGGTGAGCTCATGAACTGAAGATGGTGATCAGTCCGCACTCACCTCTGCTCCACTACAATATATCAGTGGATGTAGCCTCGTCACGCAGCCTAGCAATGGTTCTAACTCGTCTATGTTTGCCCACAGCAAATCCATCGCAGGCTCGTAGAAGGTTTTGCATGTCGTTGCAAGTGATGCAAGAGATTGTTGAGATAACAATCTGTCGCAAGAAGAATCATCAGATGGTAGGTCCACACTTTCATTCACATGTGCGAATATATCCAGGAGGACTTCGGGGACAAGTAGAGCTTGATGCATCGATATCAGTGGTGCGTCCGAGTCGAATAGTCGATAAGCCTGGTTCCAGACTAAATGGAGTTACGGCTTGCCGGAGGCCACCCGTAGGTCTAGGCAGACCTATAATCATATTAATAGTATGTGAAGGCAGTTGTTAGCACCAAATTTAGCGGAAGCAGTGGTGTCAACAACAAAACAAAGTACTCGAGCATTTTGGCACACACTCAGATAGTGTATGAAATAAATAAAACAGAGTCCATTAAATAACAGAGGTATAGTACTAATCAACCTTCCTTGCCCATTTTCTACCGGAAGGCGACGCGGTATGACGCGGTACAGGAGACTTCGGAGTAACGACCACATCAACTCTTCCCTGCCTTTCTGATGCCCATTCTACCTTTTCCTTCTCGCTGAGCGATCCAATCTGCGTCTTTCCAGAGTCTTCTCTCTGGTCACTCCCCCAGTACATCCACATCTGCACACCAAGCACAAGATTGAGAACGAGGGCAAGGGCAAAGCCAGCAGTGACGATGAGATCGCCGACCTCCGTTGCAGTAGTGAACAATCGGGCAAGACAGCCCACAATTTGAGAAATGACAGCAAAGGCGGAGAGCTGGCCCGTGGATTCGGCACGTGCGTTCTGCGTGATTTGGGGCAGCTTCGAGAAGAGGGATAGTGGCAACGTGGCCATCTGCAGTAGAGACAGAATGTCTTTAGGGAACATATACAATGCGACGGCAGATGAAACGGATGCTGCACTGGCGATTGCCAATTGTGGGCCAATGGCTTGTGCATTTCGGAGCGATGGAGTTGGGAAGTAGATGATCAGGAGGGTAATTATGGTATTTTGTATAGTCAGGAATAGATTCTCGCCGTAGGTCGAGAATGGGAACTCATTTCTGTATGAGTATGCAGTGGTGATGGCATATGCGAGAGTTTCAAGAACATATGCAGGCAAGGAGAGACCACGAGCGGAGCGTCCGCTAAGGACTAGACGTGTCATAAGTCCCTGACGTATATGAAAGGCGCTTCATAGACTCACTAAGCAACAATTGAGGAACTTTCATGATAGAACCTCCTACTACGATACCGATGCCCAAGCCCTTGGAGAGTGAGTATTTGAGACAATCCACGTCTCCGACATTAAGGTTCTCGACCAGTGAGGAATAACATTTCTGCAATATGTTGAGTATGCCAACTTTGACTAGAACAATAAAATTCAACATACCTGTCCAATTATCGATATTCCAAGGTCTGATATAAATCTGGGCAGGTTCTGTGTGATGGCAGTCATGATGACAGTTTGCGTTGTTGGAAAAGTCACAAGAGCCTCATGAATATCGCACCCGTTGTGGCTGTGCTAGTTCCTCTTTAAGCTGCGGTAAAAAAAATTATTGAGGGCTTCAAAGCTTCAAAGGCGCTACGTAGCACATCACTGCATGTCGGAATACATCTATATGGATCTCCACCGATTTGGCGTTTCTGTCATCTCTAGTCAAAATTTCGCTCTTCCCGGTCGAGCATATAGTATAGTATAAACATGCAGTCAGGAACATAGCTCATTCCGAGTCATCGGTGGACTCTAGGCTGTCTACTTGAACCACCCACGGGATCAAACACTTCTCCTTGAGACCGCCTCTGGCTCATTCAACAGACCTTACAGACCCAAGGACAACCCATCGTCAACGATGAACCCTTTCGGATTCCTTGGAGGACATAGGGTGGTAGGAGACTCGGGAACCCAGACCGGCTCGCACATTGATTCATGAGGTGATGTGAAGTGTGATATGGCCGAAGAGTGCCCTCCGTGTGAGACCATCTTTGGCGTTGCCAGCTGTACCTCAGACCTGGTATGTCTTCATCCGATAGAACCCCAAACCTCAGATAGCATTAATGACAATGTACTTGCTACAAGTTCGAAGCACCTATCAGCATCATGTAATAGCAATTGAAATTTGAGCAATACTGACTCGGGGTGCTTGGAGCCAGTGCTATAACTTTTCACAATGCTCCAGGGAAATACAAGCAATGCGCTCATCAACGAATGACTCATACCAAGGAAATTGGATATGGAACAGGTTGATGTGGACCTGTTGACCAGTGGCCACATCGGTGCAAGCAGAGGCACTTTAGGCTGTCTTGGTTGAAGGTTGCGTATGCTATTTGACTTGGGTTGACTTGTTGCAGTGCGTGTGCTGGCAGCGATCGACACGCTAGTGATGGTCAAATGCCGGGTGGTGGAATATCTTCCATGCCTGTAATGCTTCGGATATGTAAGTACTGACTTTACTAGTAAGTTCGCGTCGCTAGTTTGAACTTGCAGCCTAGTAGCGGATTCCCGGAATGCGTAATGCGTGGATGTGCTCGCCGTGAGCGAGAGAACGGTTATTTGAAAGTTCTTACTTGTATGGTTTTCAACATTACTAACTTTGTCGTTCCAGCTGGTCAGCTGCGTGGCACGTACGTAGATGCGGGCATGCCAGGCCTATAGACCAATGTTGGGTTTATTCGGCTTGTATTCGGCTTGAATCCAAAAGTGTTGGTTCGTTCATGAACTTATTCTACTAGTATTCTCTGACCCTTTTTACACCTGCTTACATTAGAAACCAACGTGTAGTACAGCGGCCATGCTGTCCAAGCTGCTGTCGCCGTTGTGTATAATTCCATTTGTCCTAGGTGCCCCGGCTCCGTCTGCTGTAACACTGTCTACGCCAGGTGGCAATGTTACTGCTACTATACTTGGCCCATATTTGCCAGTGACAACCTCGTCCAGTTTTCCATTAACTTCTGCCGCAAGCTCCGCGACATCTTTTGCTTCCGCCACCACCTCAGGCGCGTCTACAACCGGTGTTATCACCATTCCGCTCTCTAGTTATTCATTCACACCCTATCCTACACCTACTCTCAACCCTCGCCCGCCTATTTACCCTGCAACTGATCCTTTGAATCCTCCCTCTGTCAGCAGTGATCCGCAAGTTGTGCCTGATTTTGCGCCTGCATGGTCTGCCGCTTACCAGAAGGCCAAATATCTTGTGAGTGCATCCTTGTCAATGTTTGATTGTCTGACCGACTTCACACACTTTCTATGTCGACACATGCTTGGTACCCAGATATCAGATTACACCATTGAAGAAAAGGTCAATATCACAACTGGAGTCGGTTGGACGAAGGGGTTGTGTATTGGCAATATCCCACCCAATAAAAACTTTCCTGGTTTATGTCTTGAGGTGCGTAACTTGAACTTACATGAAAGGTACTTCTCAGTATTTGCCAGGATTCGCCTCTCGCTGTCCGTTCTGTCGACTACGCGACTGCGTTTCCAGCTGGCGTTCATGTGGCCTCCACGCAAGTCATCTTTGAGTCCACCAACTTTATATGTTTGATATCTTCCACAGCTGGAATCGTGCTCTGATGCGTGCTCGTGGCCTGGCTTTAGGCCAGGAGTTCAAGGGCAAGGGCGTCAACATTGCCCTTGGTCCCATGATGAACATGGGTCGGATCGCTCAAGGCGGCCGTAACTGGGAGGGTTTCGGTGCAGATCCTTTCCTGACCGGCGAATCTGCATACGAGACAATTTTAGGTCTACAAAATGGCGGAGTACAAGCTACTGCCAAGCACTTTATTAACAAGTTTGTCTTTTCTTACGCCTGTTTGCCCTTGTGTTCATCTATCCCACTAGTGAACAGGAACACTTCCGCACATCAGAATCTTCAAATGTTGATGACCGGACTCAGCATGAGATTTACGCGCACCCGTTTTTGCGCAGCGTCATGGCTGGCGTCTCGTCTGTCATGTGCAGTTACAGTGAGTTTCAATCATGTTCTATATATACCATCCACATCATTTGAGATCTGAATCGCAGATCTCATCAATGAAACCTACGCATGCAATAACGACAAGATGCTCAATGATATCTTGAAGCGGGAATACGGTTTCCAAGGTTTCGTTCAATCTGACTGGCAGGCGACGAGATCGACCCTCTCTGCTGTTGCTGGCCTTGATATGACTATGCCCGGCGATACCACCTTTGACTCCGGTGACTCCTACTTTGGCGGCAACCTCACGGACTATGTGAACGACGGGTACATAAGTATGGCTCGGTTGGACGACATGGCGACGCGTATCATCGCTGCTTGGTATTTCCTTCACCAGGACGAGGCCTACCCTGCAACGAACTTCAACGCATTCAATTCTAAAGACGAAGTGAACAACAAGCATGTGAATGTGCAGGCTGACCATTATAAGCTTGTGAGGGAGATTGGCGCAGCTGGGACAGTCCTTTTGAAAAATGAAAACGGCGCGCTGCCATTGAACAAGCCGAGGAACTTGGTATTGATTGGAAGCGATGCCAGTCCAGGCAAATCTGGCCCCAACGAGTTCCCAGGTCAAGGTGGCAGCGATGGTATTCTGGCCATGGGCTGGGGGTCTGGGTATGTTCACTTAAAATATCGTTATTCAACACTGATTAATGACACAGGACTGGTGACTTCCCTTACCTTATTTCGCCTCTTGAGGGTATCCAGGAGCGTGCTCGCCAGGACTGCAGCAGCGTGTTCTGGGATTTTGACGACTGGAACACCGCTCTGGCTGGTAATATGGCGTATGGCGAGGCTGTTGCTCTCGTGTTCACTAACTCCGACTCTGGCGAGGGTTACATTACTGTTAATGGCAATAAGGGAGATCGGTACGTTCCTCATACATTTTCAAGTGACAATGATTGTTCATTTCCTGTTAGCAAGAACCTAACTGCCTGGCACAACGGTGATGACCTCATCCTCGCTGTTGCTGCGCAGAACAACAATACCATAGTCGTTGTGAACAGTGTCGGCCCGCTGATCATAGAGCCTTGGATCGAGCATCCTAATATCACCGCTGTTATCTGGGCTGGCATCCAAGGCCAGGAGGCGGGCAATGCTATCGCTGATGTACTTTATGGTGCGTACAATCCCTCTGGAAGACTTCCGTATACTATTGCCAAGGACGTCGTCGATTATCCCGCACAACTCATCACCAAAGGTTCGGGAAGCAATATTGTGACCATTGATTACACCGAGGGGTACGTGTACTCGACCAAGGCTGCCCTGCATTGATTCCAGGGTCTTTGCAGGTTATTCATCGATTATCGCCACTTTGATCAAGTAAGTTTCCTGATTTTACTTGACACTTTCATATCTCTAACAAGGGTAAAATGCAGGCAAATATCATGCCGCGCTTCGAGTTTGGCTTCGGCTTGAGTTACACCACGTTCGCGTACTCTGACCTTTGTGTGACACCAATTCAGTCATCGGATACTGATCAAGAGGATTTGATCACTGCTTGGGAGGATGGGAAGGCTTCGCCCATCGCCGAAGGGTCGTCCACTGCACTTTGGTGAGGTTTATCCAAACCGATGAAGGATCTACAGGCTGATACTGCTACTTGCCAGGCTCCATGAGCCTGCATTCCGGATAACTTTCGAGGTCACCAACACTGGACCTGTATCTGGGACTGAGGTTCGTGACACCCATTGATCTTGCTATTTTATATGTATGCCCACGTCACTCGCATAGATCCCTCAGCTCTACATCCACCACCCATCTTCCGCTAGCGAGCCTCCATCAGTCCTGAAGGGCTTCACAAATGTCGAAATCTCGCCGTACAACATTAAACAAGTCTCAATAACGCTCTCGCGCTATGACCTGTCTATCTGGGACGTCATTTCTCAGGGGTGGCGCAAGCCTGACGGCCAGATCTCGCTCTCTATTGGTGCGAGCAGTAGGGACTTCAGGCTACAGGGGGACATTCCTATTTGATGCAGTGCACGTACTTACTGTAATTTTTGCTTTAATGTGATGCTCAATTGACCAATTGGCACTTCTATAGTCTATAGAAGGGCGATTCCTGGAATTGCACGCAATGAAACTTCCAGTAGTGATGATGCGGCGTGACAGCCAGACATGATTTCTGGCTCCGTCACACCTCAACAAGGATCTCAATTATTTCTTGACCAATTTGAAAGATTCAACTTCGCGATAGTGTATTACAAGTGTACAATCATATGTGGTCAAGCAGGATATGATTTGTTGAGTGAGATATTGCAAAGTGTCCGAACCAGTGACCGTCCGAAGTTGTGATGACCGATAGTAGTATCAACACATGCTGTGGCTGTGCGATTTCCTCTTTGAGTGGCCGTAAAATTTCTGTACAAGCTTGAAGCTTGAAGGACACGCAACGTTGTATACCACCATGGCGGAATACGATCTGTCAAAAACGATAATACCCTACTTGGATCGCCATCTGGCGTTTCCACTGTTGGCCCATCTGGTCGAAACTTCACTCTTCCCGGTCGAGCAAGTCCAAGCTGCACAGTATGAACTTGCAAAGGGCACGAACATGCTGGATTATGCAGTCAGCCTGTTCGAGCAGCTGCACCCTGACGAGGAGATCCCCGAAGGTACGTCATTGCGTTCTAAGTCAGATCGATGATGATACATGTGAGCTCGATCCTTCAGAGTTCTCGGGAAAACGAGAGAAGGCTGTATCAACAAATGAACGCCTACAGCTGGAGGCTCAAGCCGTTCTTGATGTGATCGAGAACCCAGATGTGGCACAGGCACTGCGTCAAGATAAAAATCAGAATTTGCAGTACCTAAAAGATAACTACAACGTACGTGCTCGCCTACCATCAACCGTCTTGCAACCTATTTACGTTCAACATAGCTCACCCTCGAACAAATCACTGCTTTATACAACTTTGGGCAGTTCCAATATACTTACGGCAACTACAGCGGTGCTGCAGACTATCTGTATCACTTCCGTGTACTTTCAACCGATAACGATCTCAACACTTCTGCGCACTGGGGTAAACTTGCTTCCGACATCCTCACCGGAAAATGGGAGACAGCTCTCGAAGAATTGAACACCTTGCGTGATGTCGTTGACTCGCGCTCACCTTCAACACTCTTAACTGCATCTGCCGAACCCGCAGCTCTCACGCAACTCCACTCGCGGACGTGGCTGGTTCACTGGTCTCTCTTTGTCTACTTCAATCACCCGCAGGGTCGGACACTCCTCCTCGAGACTTTCCTCTCGCCCACTTACCTTAACACTATCCAAACCTCTTCTCCCTGGATCCTTCGGTACATAGCCACTGCTGCCATCCTCTCTCGCAAGTCGGCTGCAGGTGGGAGCGCTGCTTCTTCGCGTGTACGACACTCGATACGCGAGATTGTCAAGGTCATACAGACGGAGGAGTACCAATATCAGGATCCCGTTACATCTTTCCTGAAAGAGCTTTATGTCGAGTTTGACTTTGAAGCCGCACAGCGTGAGCTAACGCTTGCCGACCGCGTGGTCGGAGATGATTTCTTCCTTGGAGAGTTCAGAGAGGAGTTCCTCGATAATGCACGCTACCTAATCAGCGAGGCATACTGCCGTATACACCAACGTATTGATATTGGGTAAGTGAGGGATGCATCCGCATTGATTTACTCTCAAACCACGTGCTCAGCGACCTTTCGGAACGTCTTAATCTCTCACGAGATGAAGGCGAGAAATGGATTGTCAACCTCATCCGCGAGACCCGCATGGGCGCGGAAGCGAAAATCGACCTAGAAAAGGTATGGATCTTATTTCAGCATCATTAATGATGTCGCACTCGTCCGTTCATTCACTGACTGTCATTTCTTATAGAACGTTATCGAGATCCACCGTTCACCATTGCCGATATATCAATCAGTCATTGAGAAGACGCGTGGTTTGGCGTTCCGGACGCAGGCGTTGGGTACTGGCATGCTTCACAGTCCGCAGCAGCCACAACAGAGCCAGCCGCAGCCCGCTGTTGTTGAGGGAGCTCCGTAGTCAGAGCTTATCTGTACTTGTACGTGCTTCATGGGTAGTGTCTTGCTACTCGAAAATGACCGCTGCTATCTTTGACGATATCTAACGGTTGTAGAGTATACATCTGTCTTCTTACCTGCCCTGTCTGTTGTCTACTCAGTTTTGACAAATTTTGCGCAAAACTAAATTTATCAAGGTAAACTTGGAATGACTGCACGCTCCGTATCGATACAAACAATCTATTTCTCCCCGCTGAGATATGCACTCCTCCAGCACCTGCATTTTGTTAGCATCGATATCGCCGGGTGAGACAAGTCGTTGGACTCACAATATCTCGTAGTCATTTCTGATAATGTGCTCTCCACCACCAAATGCGACATTGCATCCCTCCTATCAGAAACTTAGTTATCGTGGGATAGCTTCAAGTAGAATGAAAATGCGCACAAGATGTTCTCCTGTTTTACCAGGAACCCAAGTCCCATTCACGCGACCCATTGCATGATACAAATGCTGCCCATTCTCTTCATAACCTCCAGCAACAGGATCCCGATTGTGAGGGATACGACCGTGACTCGTAGGAACCCATTCCATGGTCACCGGGTCAAATGGCAGAAGGTCGTACCGCCCGTCATGCTCTACCTCTGCGGAACCATATGGAACACGGCACGGAATTGGAAGATGGGGTGCAATCTTGCATGGATGGACGGAGCGCTGGAAGATTGCTGATCCAATGAAGACGGGAGAAACCCCGTCTGCGTCGTAGCATGCGGGTTTGTTGGTATGCGCGAGGTCAGGGAAAGCAGAGTTTAACTGCAGCGGGATTCGGGTGCCTGAGGGAGGCGGACGATGTGGATATGGCGGGGGTGGACATTTGTCAGTCTTGTAGTCTTCTTCCATTGTACTTGTAGGTTGTGCTATGTAGATGACGTCGCTATAGCTAGGGGACTGAGTCACGGTAAATGGCCCGAGTAGCCTAAATGTCTTGAGCACTGAATCAGCTGGGCGCTTACAAATGCCGCCCGGCCCAATTGCAAATGCGCTACTATCAAATCCAAATCTTCATGAAACATGACCATATGGCAGGTCATCGATTCATCCTTAACGACGACTACTCATCCAAGACGTGTCTGTCTCCCTAAAATGACCACGATCGACGCGCTGGGCGTACAACCGATGTACATTGTATTGGCGTACTACTGTCATGTTCACCATCCCAACTCTCCATTTCTGACATCACTGTGGGGAATACGATGCTGTTATAAATTATATACCGAGCTCTGTCTGTAGGCTAGGCAACACTCAGTACACCAGCTCCAGCATGACTAGACTACTAAGAAATGCGTCGGATTTAATGTAACGAGTAATCAGAAGGATCATTGTTCACTGGATATCATATGCAATGCTATGAGTATGTTCAGCTCGTCTCTCCACAATACATAAGCGATGGTTACACACACATACTAGCTCCTGTTGAGATTCATCCACGAACGTCATTGTGCAACTACTGACGCACGATGTTCATCATCGATGTTTTGTGGTCTTTTCTGCTCGTTTTATCGGTGGGGGAGCCAGTTCTTGAACCTCCCAATCAGCTGAGGATAGTGTCGGTATACCAGTAGTCTGTTTTCGAGTGCCTGTCATCAGCGGCGACGTCGTGGACACTGGCGCTTCGTGAGATTCATCGGAGGCATTGTCACGGTCACGGATTGAAAGAGACGCCATGTTGTGGTGGAGTCTATGGCACGCAGTGTTGTGAGACAAGGAAAGAGATTGATCAAAAGTAGCCGTACCTGGCTTCTCGACTTCGCGCACCGCTCCATATCTTGCATGCTTCCTTGAAGTTAGTCAAGATACCAGCCATATCGTTGTAAAACTAGCAGACAATCAACTTTGATCCCCAAGATTGAGCTCTTGGTAACTAACCTTCAGCCCTTCGTCTAGATTCCGTATAATCTCTCTATAATGAGAATACGCGAGATCAAGAAATTGAAGGGCCTGCTCTCGATCCTTGATAGCAGGGTCTTGTTTCCTAGACTGAATGAATGCATCATTCGTGGACTAGGAGATCGTCAGGGAAATGTTGGAACCAATCATTGATCGAAGTGACCTTGATCGACGAGAGAATCTCCTCTTGTTTTTTCCGCCCCTCTGTCAGACCTTGAATGAACTTGTCGTACTTGGCAAGTTCATTATCAGAAACGTCTTCAAACATGACGGCGCTCATTTCTATCCTATGTTCCAAGTTTGCCGCTGCCGCCAGTACCTTTGGCCGTATGTCGTCGCTTTCCGCTCGTCTTTGAGCACGGACAATAAGGTCGTCTCGAGTACGACGAACATCATCCAAAGATTCTAGCAAGCCACGCAGGGTGCGAGCGTGGATTTGAGTCTGACTAGTTGACACTGCCTTTCCTGTCATTGAGACTGTCGATGACGGCACCAAGGCTTCGAGCTCATCCTATGCACCACAGTCAGTATGTAATCGTGTACAGCTGCGCCTTGTCCGCACCTCGTCGCGAGTAAGCTCGGAAATTTGATCTTCCCATTCCTCCCATTTTCTGCGCACGAGTTCGTCGCTTTCTGCTGCCTGAATAAGAATGGTCCGATACCGTTGTTGTTTTATGACAAGTTCTTGGTTTGCTTCATGAGATGGAGGACGGTTCATTGGCGTCTCTCTGCGTGCAGCTTCGTCCTCAGATGCCTCGCTGTCTAGGATATCCATAGCCTAGAACCAGGTCCATAAGCGATAATCCAAACGTAGATAAAAAAAGAAGATACCTCGTCGAGAATGCCGAGTACATGTCGAGAGAGTCGTTGAACGTCGTCGAGATAGACATCGATCTTCGCAGGCCCCTGCTCTAGACGTATTTCTTCAGCTTTCCTCAAGAGACTTGGAGGTAGCCCGACAGGACGCTCCAAGGCTTCCAACGATGATGGCAAGTTCAAAGATTGAAGGATTCTGCGCGTGATCAATTACGTCAGGAATATGGTAAGGACGCGCGTCTGACTTATCGGCTTCATCGTTCAGATTCTGGGCTGGTTCGACAATTTTCTCTTGAAGCAAATTTTTCTTGTTATCATTGTAGATATCTGGATTGATAAATCAGGACAAGGCATCACATTGTCGCTTAAACTCCACTCACTGATAGCTTCCCGAGCACCCCATCCAAGCATTTCACCAAAGATTATGCTGTCATCGCCGATTATGCTTCTGGGGTCCCGTAGCCCAGGCGGAATGATGCTCTGTACCATAGAGACTTCTTGAATTGCAGGGATACCACAAGGTGCCGGAACATTCTGATGGTATATCAGATCATTGTCTCTTTCAGCACGGGAAAGATCTTTCTGCACAACGTCAAGCAGCGACTGAAACAAGATGTCAAACAGGCGACTAGATAAGGCGCGAGATAAGAATGGACCTTGACATCGCTTATGACTGCTTGAGCGACCCCGGCACGCTTCGCAATGTTAAATGCTTTTTTAGCATCTGCTTCCGCAATCATCAGACGCCGAATTTCGTCACCGTACCTATAACAATTTCAGCGATGAAGGAACGCGTGATCCCTCACCAACCTAGAGGCTTCAAGTTCGTCGACACTTTTCCTATATTGCGATGCTGCATTGAAATGATAATGCTTCGTCTCCAGGTGAGGGACCCAATTCTATTGACCTAGGTCAACACCTAGGATGGAAGCCGTGAGATCATGCTTACAGGCGGTAAGGCACTACGGGCGTCGGCAGCTGCCAGGCGGATCGATAGTAAGGATGTATTATAAAGAGATGAAACTTTGGCTGCCAATTTTGCAATCAGACTATTCTTGTAGTGATCTAAATCACTAGTCAGAACTGTAGGATGTTTGAGGGAAATTATTACCGGCGACGGCATGCTGCCAGACACATTCCTGGGCCTGGGCCAGCATAAGCCATTCCAGACTTTTGACAAAATCTTCGATCAGATCGGAAGGTGTGTTTTCTAAGTCTACAAAAGGACCCAGTTTCGGCAGCGCTGACTCGGACAGGAAGGCCAAAACACCTGCTGCGTTCTTCAGGTGGAGCGTAAGGTAGCTTCCATTTCTCAACCGCTTAACTTGCCTGGTAATAAGCACTTGCACGTTTTAGGCCATCTTGACTGGATCTGTCCTCAGAAGCAGCTAATTGGGAATATAGCGCGGCTATATTGAACAAGACTGAAGCCCGCTCAAACGCAATACTCCTTAGGGTCACAGGGAAGGAGGACGGGCTAGCAAACGCATGTGCGTATGAGAATTCCAAATTGATCTGGGGTTATCAGTACTGCGGAAGAAGAATCATGAGGTTGGCAACTGACGTCGGGCGGTAATTTGGCTAGAATGAATACAAGTTGAGCATGATAGCTGGTTCTGGTTAGATTACTCGGCATATTCGGGTGCTGAACTCACTTTAACGCGAAGTTGATACGGTCAACATGTAATACGCCCCCAGTGCCGATATCCCGCAATGCCTTCCACTGATTGATATCGCCAATATAAGCATCTGGGTGATCTTCCGTGTGATTTTGGATGTAATCGCGTGTGGCAACAGGTATAGGACATGAATATGTCTTCTTAAAAGGAATGGTGAGGTGATTCGGCATATCCGAAAATTTGGTTTGAAGAATAGATGGTCCCTAAGTGTGTCTTATGTCCTCGTGGAGCCGGGCCCTGCGGGTATGAATTAGAAGTCAACGGAATTATAGATAGTGCAACAAGTTTGAGGACAAGGTGCGTGCAAGCCGGGCTCGATCGCAACTGACAAACTTACCCGCGCCAGTTGCTTGTGTTACGGTAGTTCAGCGACAGTGCCACTAGTAGTGAGAACTCGAGAGCACTGCAGGGTCGCGATGAGCACGTGACAAGTACCCTGTTCCATTCTTCCTCCGCTCTCGATTTATATATATATTCTTTCTAGTTCAGTCATTGAGGTAAATATTAAAATATTTATGATCATGAGCTATTGCTAACGTTGATGGGAAAAAAGTGACTATAATCACTACTGGCATAGTGTTATATTTCCCAGTCTATGGCACCAGTGATGGACACTAGTAACAACTGACCAGGGGCCCGAAGCTCAATGTCTACCAGGACTTAGCAGTTGGCCCCTTCCAAACTACCAGTGACTTAGACCTATCTTTACGACCCTGTATGATAACGTTGATAGTAAAATTCAGGCTTAAGCAGCTCCGGCTTCCAACTGGGTTTTTCTGTTTGACGCTCAGGTTTGTGCTTCTAAATCTCTTGAGCTGATATTATTGAAGGTGCGGTCGTATATATTTCGGGCTCTCGAGTTACAACTTCGCTTCCACAATAAGATCGTTGTTACACGTTGGCCTTGCGGGCCAAAAGGCCTGGCTTGATCCAGCGCCTTACGGGACTTATAAGTACTGTGAACGTCCTTCCTAGACTTCAACGCGCTCGTTAACTGCGAACCAAATGTCTCTCCGACATCTTCAACCTGCAAACGTCCCGGGCAAGGCAGCGGTGAAGAAATAGTAAGTATTACTTAGCTGTGTTTTTACTTCACTTGCCCTTGATTTTATTGCCTATCGGCATAATCGGAACGAGTCAGTCGAAGTGCACATCCATGCAAACTTCTGGGCAGTAAACTTCGTCGTTGGTATCCTACAATTATTTCGCGTGGTCAGTTTGTTTTGACCAAGTATACTAGGCTGGGGATAGTGGAGTGTACTAATCTCCAAGTGAGAAACAGAAACCCGACTTCTTCGGACCGAATAATTTTCTTTGTGCGGCTTGAGGGCATTTCGCAACCGTAGACCTTTCTTACGCCCATGCTTTTTGGTTTTCTATCACAATCGCGAGTTAGCAGCGTGCGTTTTACCTACGTTATCTATCATTATCCATAACCGATCCTGGTGATCGGCTTAGTAATTAAGGGGGAACCTTAACCTTACCATACACCTGCCAACTCATCCTAAAAAGGTGAACCTTCCCCGACTCCACGAAGGAGGGGAGGGAACGAAAACAGGGTTCCGGCGGAATATCCTAGTGACTTCACATTTTAAAAGACAGACATCATGCCTACCGTAACTTGCCATCTCACCTGATCATGACCCTCACCCGACTTATTAAAAGTTGCCATTTCAAACATTTCTCAATCCATGAGGTGAGAGAACACCATTGCCTTCACTATCAATACATAATTCGATCGAACACATGCATAGACAACCCATAACGCGTCCCAGCCATGCGGCATTCGTAGTAAGTACTAACGTAGTTAACGTATATAGGAACTAATTTGGCTAAAAGTCAAATCAGTGGGCGCAAAAAAGTCACGCTGAGACTATCCGCTGGGCTCCTGAGCCGGGAACCAGCTGTACTGCAGCGTCAGCGCAGCCAGGGTTCCTTCTGATATGGTCACGAACGACGTCGTCACGAGACGTGAGTCCACATCGCGAGCATCTGAATTGAATGCCCAGATGCCTCGCGATGTGCCTCGTTATACTGCTCATTTTCAGACGTCTGTCCATCGAGCATGAACTCCAGCGGCATTCAATATCCGCGTCGGCAGAGTACACGACACCATGTCGTTCCCGAAGATGAGAGAGGATGTCCATGGGAGAACCTTCGATGAAAATTCCACAGGGAGAACCCTGGGTGTCCCAGCAGCAACGATAGACGACTACCTCAGCATCCGAGTCCCGCGCATTAGCGGCAGCGCTGGGCTCGACGTCTATTATGGCGGAGTCTTGCGGGCTCGTAGATTGGCATGGACAGTCAGGTAAGAAGCATCTGGGAAAAAAATGTTGAATATTGGCCAAGGGTCTACAAGTAAAGAATTCTTACCCGGTAAACATGGCAATGAGATGAGTAGTGAAACAAGAGGATTTGGATAGACAGAACTGATATTGGAGCCCAATTTATATGATATGGAGTGTTGGGACAGCCATTATTAAGCGCGGGCCACACACATGTGTGGACGGAATAACGAGAGGGGATCGATCGCCAGGTGCATGTTTACGGTGGTTGAAGAGATCCGAACCCCATTTGATATTCAAAAAAAGTTCAACAATTTGGGTTTGGGCCGGGTGGCTCATGCTGACATAGTTCTTCAATGGACCTGGGGCTGAACCTAGCGCGATTTCACTCTGATTAAGACAGACTGTCTGATGAAATCTAGAAGGTCACATCAGCCGAACATTTCGGAGGGTACGAAGTGGTACCGCCAACCTAGTATTTATTCGATATCAAGAGCGGGAACAATATTAATGAGTACTGACAAAACTCTGATACGTACTTATGTAATAACGCACCATGGAGCAGTGCATGCAATCATTTACAGGGCGCTACTGCAAGTCGATTTTGGCAGCTAGAACTCCAAGTGTAGAGTCTGCAATCAAGAAACGCCGGAGATCTTTCCTAGCTCCCCTTCCGTAGGATGTCATTGAGTGTACCATTAATGGTTGTTGACCCTAGACTAACAATTATCGTGGTTGATGGCAACCTGGGTGTTCTGGATTCCACAGGATTGACAAACGTCCCTACCTCTAGCAACGGCTTTGTGGCTTCTACCCAATGTCATCGCGTATTTCCATGGCGATAAAGGCAACGCGGCGTCATCGTTGTCCAAGAACCGCCACAATCCATTTCACCCCCCGTGAGTCACAGATGATACCCAACAAGCAAATGTAAAACTGCACCAGAAAGGAATATAAGAACTCTTATCATCTTATCATTATAAATTTCAAAACGGACCATATTAAAGTGCACGCACGGGACCCGCAGGGACACCGCAAAACGTATTCGGGGGATATCGAATTGAAGAAAGGGTTAATATTCGAGAGCGGATAAGTATACGCTTTGTCACAATCGCCCCCATTTGGGAAATCGTCATAGATGTGCAAGGGCCAGCGAGAATGAGTTTGACTCCCAGTGATAGCAAAGAGGTTACCAAACTTGACGTCCCGCGAACACGCCAGCCGCAGCGGGGTTCCATTCGGATACGTGTAACAATCGTTTATTGACCAGGCTCCGCATTTCCCCATTGTGATTGTGATGACACAATGACAACCTGTGGGTTCACTACGCTGGGTGGCGGAGCGGGATGCGCTGAACAGAACCGCCTAGGTATGGTATGCCAGGAGAACCTGGCTATTTTCGTGCATCTCGAGTGACGAGGCGTGGCCGTAATGGAGTTAACCTTGGCAGTCGAGGAATGACATACCATTTTCATGAATCAAGCTCGCTAAGTGTGACAAGCTTACCCCGTGGTCTGATATCAATCATATTAATGCGGCTAATTTTTGGAGTTTGTGTGTTATGATCGCTTACAATTTAACGCGGCCATGAAATTAAGTTTAACGTTGATCAATGCACAACGTTCAATTGAGTGCGGCGGGCTTAAAGACCCGGGTAGTACTACGAAGTCCTGAATCTGTGTAAGGCACTGAAGGCATATTTTGGGTGTAACACAGATCAGTGACAAGACAGATCTATGATGTGAAACGTGTTGTTCTAAATCAGCAAAACGGATATGAAACGGATTGTGAGGATTGTGAATGCACTAACCAGAGAAGGTACCTGGAGGTTGCTCGCACAGGTAAAAGCTTCGCTAGCTCTGTTGACTAGTTTGATTCAACTTTGATACGACGGTTATAGTAATTTCGCGCCACCTGCTAGATATTCTCAGCGTTTCGTTGGTCTTGCCACAGCTGCAGCTGTTGTGTTACGCGCCGCATTGGCGGATATATTGTCTTCTTCGTCATCTCCCTGCATTGCCTTCTTCCTCTGCCTTCATCCTCTGTTCTTTCTTTCTTTCTTTCTTTTGTTGATACCCACAAAATTCGATATCCAACAGGCCCTCTTGTTTTTTTGTTGCCAGGCTGCGCCGGTGCTAGCTTAGGAATCTACAAAATCTCTCCACACCTGTAGGGCAGACTTCAAAGTCTATATAGGTCCTCGCTTCACGATCCAAAGATCAACAGCCTTTTTCTCAACTCATCATGTCTTATGTCGATCAACCGACCTCCCCTGGCGCAGTTATGGGGAGGAGACTCACGAACAGGAATACAAATCGCTATAGTGTTACCGCCCTTTTCAGTATGGCCGCAGAGCAGGATGTTGAGGTGGAGGATGACCTTGCTCGAGGTGTGTCCAAATTATGACTTTCATGTTCTTATTCCGAAGGCCTTGTAACACAGCACAAAAACGCCTTCGTGACCTCAAGGGCAAAATATCCGCCCAGTCCAAGAAAAATTTTGTGCTCGAGCGTGACGTCCGTTACCTTGACTCTCGCATCGCTCTCCTTATTCAGAATCGTATGGCCGCCGATGAGGTCCGTGTTCTGATGCTGTGTTAAATTCTATTTTTCGGCTCACTTATATGGGTTAGCAACGTGAAGTGGAACGGACACTGGAGGAAGTCGATCCAACCGAAGGCCATTACCCTGATGATCGAAAATTACAACAGTACTCCAACCTATTCTTCCTTCTTCAGTCTGAACCCCGTCATATTGCTGCACTATGTCGACTTGTCAGCTTATCAGAGATCGACACTCTCTTGCAGACAGTCATGTTTACGCTATATGGAAACCAATACGAGAGTCGCGAAGAGCATCTCCTTTTAACGATGTTCCAATCAGTCTTGTCCGCGCAGTTTGAGACAGCAACCGAGTTTGGGTCGCTACTGCGTGCTAACACTCCTGTGTCCCGAATGATGACTACTTACACCCGACGAGGTCCTGGGCAAAGTTATCTCAAGGGGGTGCTGGCAGAACGCATCAACAGCTTGATAGAACACAAAGACTTGAACCTTGAAATTAATCCCGTAAAGGTGAGCCATAACTAGTGCCGAGAGGCATGTCGAGATATCTAACGAATACACAGGTGTACGAGCAAATGATAAACCAAATAGAAGAAGAAACAGGTACACTACCGCCCAACCTACCTCGCGGAGTACCCCCAGAGGTCGCCGCCGAGAACGCCGACGTTCAAGCCATCATTGCACCACGGCTTACTATGCTAATGGAAATTGCGAATAGCTTCCTCGTAACCATAATAGAAAGTATGGAAAGTGTGCCGTATGGTATTCGATGGATCTGCAAGCAGATCCGCAGTTTGACCCGGGTCGGTTCGCTTTCATCTTCCTTTCATTCGGCGCTAATCCTCTGGTGTGTCACAGCGAAAGTATCCCGAGGCAACTGATTACGCTATTTGCTCATTGATAGGAGGCTTCTTCTTTCTGCGGTTCATCAATCCTGCTATTGTCACTCCCCAAGCATACATGCTCGTTGAAGGCGTCCCCGCTAAACACCCTCGCCGAACACTGACTCTGGTACGTACCGTATTAGTCCTTCCGTTTTCACGTTCTTAGCTAGTAATTCACCTCATTAGATTGCGAAGATGCTGCAGAACCTTGCGAATAAGCCCTCGTATGCGAAGGAGATCTACATGATCACTCTGAATCCCTTTGTAGAAAATAATAAAGCACGGATCAACCAATTCCTCAACAGTCTTTGCGAGGTCGGAGATTTCTATGACACTCTTGAAGTGCGTTCGAGCATAACTCGTGTCATTCTCATTCATGTCACCTAACGTTGAATCTTAGATGGACCAATACATGGCTCTATCCAAGAAAGACCTCATGATCCACATCACCATGAACGAGCTGTACAACACTCACTCTTTGATTTTACAGCATGTGGAAACTCTCGTAAGCATAACTTATTTGTCCTTCTGCTAGTTTCTGACACGGCTGTGCTCCAGTCCCCAAACGACAAGCAGCATTTACGTATCTTAACTGATGAACTCGGACCCGCTCCGTCACAAGTTCCGCGAAAGGAGAACCGTGCCATAGAGCTGAACCTGTACAGCCGCTGGGAAACGCCTGTACAGGATATCCAAAGTGCTCTGATGGACTCGGTATCAACGAGCGACATGCTGTACATGGAAACCAAGTCTATTCTTGTACAGCTCATACGTTCCATACCCCACGCTGCCGAGAAGCGGCCGTACAATTTGGCTGCGATCGCTGAACGGGCGGCTACGACGAAGGATGCAACGCTTGTGCGCAAAGGCATTAAGGTCAAGGAGATGCTTCGTGAATTGGAAGAGCAAAATATCATCGAGGCGGTAGATGGCTATAAGCTCATGCAAGATGAGGTTGCTGCTGAGCTCGCTCACCTTGGTAATCTACGGGAGAAGGTGGTATTAGAAACGAAGTCGTTGGAAGCGGTCTACAAAACGATCTGCGACCACAATGCTTACCTGCGCTCTCAGCTTGAGCAATACAAGGCGTATCTTCAGAACGTCCGTCTGACTGCGTCGAAAGACAAAGGCAGTACGACTGGAGTGGGTGTCGTCACGGTCGGAGGCAAAGAGAGGAAGCCATCGAAATCAGCGGTTCTTGGTCCGTATCGCTTTACCCATGCGCAACTCGAGAAGGAAGGTATCATCGTGGAGAGTAATGTTCCTGATAACCGGCACGTACTTCCTCAGTCCCCTGTTATACGGTGTTCTGACCTCCTTTCAGTCGACCCAACATCTACTTCAACATAACATCACCTACGCCTGGGACATTCATCATTTCCTTGCACTACAAGGGTCGGGAAAAAGCCATTCTTGAGATGGATCTAAAGATCGACGACCTATTGGAGAAGGTTGGTTCCTCCCTCCAGATTGGCACACTATCAATACTCACTTCGTCAACAGCAAAAAGACAACAAGCACTTACTAGATCTAGAGTACGTTCAGCTGAACGTACCGAAAGTCCTAGCGCTGCTGAAAAAAGTGTTTGCCAAACGGTGACATGATCCTATTCTACCTATCTTTAAGACATTCATCTTTATATGTTCTATTCATTCTTGTGATACCACTGTGACGCTCATTACCTCTAGTCTCTTTTACTCTATGGCCTCCTCCTGTCACTCTTCAATTTCTTTCGGATGTAGATGTATTACTCTGTAGTTATGTGTATGTCTGAATAACTGTTTTTCTACTCTCTAAACGTTTTCGCGAGCTGAACATGTGACATGTAAACAAGCAAGTCATAACGACATGCCGCCCAGGTCTGGTCTGATCTTTTCGCCGTCGTTGTGACAAAGTTCCAACACCCAAGGTTCTTTCCTTAGCCCTTCTTCCTTCTTCTTTCGCACTCAAGTTTTTATAGTGCTCGAATGTTACCCTGGTAGACTCAGGTTCATCGGTCCCTTTGAAGAGCGCATAATGAACCGGTTGGCGAAGGTCGTCCTGCTTCTTGTTCTGAACTTTGCCCTGCAGTTTAAAAATGTTCTCGCGGCTAGCACCTATAATCTTCCAAGTACACCCTTGCAGGATGGACCTGCCTTGCTTGCTGGTCAGGCGTCAAACTCAACCGCACTCAATGCCTTTGGAATCTCGTCGGTATCCATCGCTGGTGATGGGTGAGTCTTTAAACCTCAAATATACACCTTTCTCATCGGACCATCTTGCAGGACATACTATGTTGTTCTCCAGGCTGGTCAAATAAGCTTCCGAGCTGCCCTTGATACAGGTATTATGCGTGCTTCTTTGATAATAAGATTCCGTATGAAAAGCGTGTCGCAGGTTCTGCCGACTTTTGGCTTACTTCCACAGAATGTACTAACAGCACATGTATGTCTGTGCCAAGATACCCTCTCACCTATGCCAGTCCCACTTTCGTGTCCATCAATAATAACGAGACCGCTTTCGCCGTTAACTATGCTGATGGGACTGGTATGTGCGATAATCCACTCAATCCACTCCGATGCTCACGGTGTAACAAGGTGCATCCGGGTTCGTTGCCAGAGAAACTGTAGAAGTTGCAAACGTGACGGTTGCAAATCAGGCATTTGGTAAGGCTAGACTTCCGACTCAAAACGCTCCACGTTAACATCTCGGCAGGCGTTGTAACAAGTTCTAATATTACGCTGGTCAGCGAGGTCAGCGGTATTCTCGGCTTAGGATTCTCACGACAGTCAGAAATATCCGCGAGGGCTGCAAGCGGTATGTTAGTTGGGCAGCGTTGTGAGCGCCAACCTCACGGATCGGGTCCGTTCTAGCCACGCCATTTTTTTCGACCTTGGCTCAGCAAGGCATACTGGACTATCCGATTTTTGGATTGAGTCTTACGAGGAATGCAACCGGAACGTTTACCCTCGGTGAGTCTCTACCGAGTGCCTGGTTTACGATACTCATGTCTTCGTGTTGAAAAGGAGCCATTGATGTATCTGTCGTGCAAAACGTTAGCCAGGTTATATGGAACGAGGTCGTATCATTCTCTCCGGTCGGTACACAGACCAATACATCTGGCTACTTCTATTGGGCGATTCGTATGAGCAGTTTTGCGGTAAGGCTCTTGATCTTGCCATTATAGCGTGAGATGATACTTACTTTTTTTTTGCAAGGTCAATGGAACTCAATATACTCCTCAACCGACCTATCCTGGCCCAAATGACAATTCATCGATTGCTCTTTTGGACGTGTAAGTAATCAACGACTTATACATGTGCGCGCTTAACTCTCCACAGCGGCACTACAGGACTATATGGCCCATATCAAGATGTCAGTTCCTGATTTTTCCATCGACCGACTAATCTTCATATTCTTCTAGGTAATACGATTGTACAGTTCGTTTCCCAGTAGCCGCCTAGTTGACGAGAGTAAGTCATGATGTTATTTTGGATACTACCAGAGTTGATAAAGCAATGATGATGAAGGTGGCCAATGGGCCGTACCTTGCGACTCTTCAGCAATCATATCCTTCAGCTTTGGGTGACTAGTGGTTGATTAAATAACCCGTTTCATCTGCTAAAACCTTTCTTCCAGGGACGGAGCTACGTTTGTGTTGGAACCTACCGATTACATTATTGGCCCAGCTGAGGGGAATCCGGACCTCTGTTTGTCTTGGCCTAAAGCTGCACCTCCCAGTACCGATGGAGTTGACTGGTTGTTAGGTACATTAGTCGGTTTACTGTCGTGTCGCTCCATATTCTTAACCGCTTCGCTCGTCCAGGAACCCCGTTTTTGCGAACTGTCTACTCAATATGGAGGTATGTTGAACTTCTTGGAATCTTTCCACACAATATTCATCAGTTTTTTTATGTAGTTATGGAATTGACTACCAGGAGCCCCCGATGATTGGGTTATATCCCTACAACAACGCCTCAGCACCTGTACAGCCTTTTTCAGTTGTCGAATCCTCCCTTTCATCCGAGTCTGCGACAGTTGCTACCACTCTACCCAATTTCGTCCTCTCTACACCCACTTACACGACGCCGCCGTACGCATTTAACACGTCAGTTCCAGCCGTCTATGGCGAGATTGTGCAATCTGAGCTCGCGACGAGCACGTATAGCCCCCTCATAGGGACACTTGCCGTTAACGCCACCGCCCTCCCTCAGGTGACTGGTGCATATACACTATTTGTTACGAATTCGAACGGTGCAGTGGTGACATCGACATATCACATCTCGCAACCGTTAGTAACTTTAGGCGTTCCCCCTGGGTGGAATAGTGCTGCCTCTCGGAGCATTTCGGGAGTAGGACTAGCTATCTCGATACTGATCACTCTGGTTGCTGGCACATGGATCATATAAGGACTACTTTCATACAATATATCATTTTTTTGGTGACTTCCTAGCTTTGTATCATACCATTCACTGACTATTTTGTTCATTACATCTTGTTGAACACAACATACTACTTGTCATCTTACCTCGAACTTTGTCCGTTGTAGATCACACATCATTCTATAGTGTCACAACAGATACTGGCACAATTGGGTATACTGGTGTTGTAGTCCACGTCCGATGCTCACGAAACTCTGTTCACCCAGAGAGAATATCCCCTAAGGGTGCTGCAGGCAGAACAGGCTAGGTGTTCTGGCTCGTTGGCTCTGATGACACAATCAAATTAATTCCATCAACCTGAACCTCATCTCGAAGAAGACGTACAAGGTACACACAAGACAGTTCCAGCCATCCGGCTGATCTTCTGTCCTGTCAGGTCTGGAAGCACTAGAAATCCGTGATTTCTTAGCGACAGATATCTCTTCGTCTACCACACGCCGATGCTTGCCAGGCTGGGTCGATGAACCGGGCTGCGCATCTGTCGATACAGCAGCATCGGGACGTTCAATTTTGTGGATGTTGCATGAATCAAATTCGATTTCTCCAGGAAGTCTAAAGTCGTCTGAAAAATCATATCTGGCTGCTTTCATTTCGTCGAGCTCTTGTCCGCCGACGGATTCGAGCATGGTTCTTCGACGGTCTTGATCTGTTTCTAGTGGTTCAGCCTCGTATTCAGATTCTGAACCTGTTGTAATTTCACTCTTCAAACGCGAAGAGGATGCTGACGCTGAAGAGACGGATGTGACTAAAGCGGAAAGTGAATCGCCTGACGAAACGAGGGGAAGACAAAACCAACTTTTGTGCGTCTCCATACGTCTCTCGGCAGCAAGCGCACGTTCTTCCCGGGCACGTTTACTAACCAACCATGATCCATGAGCCCTCGCTATTTGAAAGACGAATCACATACCTTCCAGCTTTCTTCCTAAATCCAGTGCCGGCTTCTCGCCAATGATGCCATCGTTCAGTGCCTTTCCACTCGAGCCAAATGCGTTAGCGTTGGTAATCCTGGAGCCGGCCTTGCGTTTCTTTTCAGATTGAGCACCTGTGTGCACAGAAGGTCCACTAAATTTAGCAGTTCTTTTACGTCGTTGGTAAGAGGCAGGTCGGGCACGTGAGTGAGCACCACCACACTGTTTGCACTATCTGAGCATAGATGAGAAAGACGGAGGATGACTGACCATGTATTCAGGAAGGTCTTCCGTTTCAATACCTTGGCCGGCTATTTTCGCGGAATCTGCTAATCTGGTCCCGGAAGACCAATAGCCTGGGGAATTGTGAGGTGTATGTGAGCAAAGCTTGGTTGTGGTGCGTACCATCACCATAATATCCCCTGTTTTGTAGGGCACGGACGTCATTGCGTAGCTGCCGCCAGAGGGCTTGGAAAGCAGGTCCGTGATTCATATGCTGTATCGCGTGTTAGGGCGTCGAATAGTTACTAAACTGTATAACTGACCTTTATGTGGGCGAGCTAACGCGACAAACGCGTCCAGTGTCAATTGGCAACTTGTCACACGAATCAATAGGAAGACTCACTTCGTGGCACAATGTACTCAAGAGCCAGTGAACTGGTACAAATGAACCGCTAGCAGACTTCAAAACCAGTTCTGCATGAACGCCTCAGTAGAGCTCTCTAATGTCGTTCCGGGGCAGTGTGCGTACCGATCGTCTCTCCATTGTTCCAGTTCCGTCCCGCGAACACTCTGTTATACTCGTACTAGACAGTCTCAACGTAGTAGACCCAACCCAGGGACCCTAGAATAGATACGTACCTCTTCCAAGCTGTTTACGGTGAAACCGTGAGCCTTCATGAGAGGCTTCACCTGGGCGCTCAGCGCCCGCATAAGTTGCCGAGCATCATCCTCGAGAGTGGCATCGACCATAGGCAGAACGGAGATGAAATTGACGTGCGGGTTCGGGTTAGCCTCGCGTTCGTTGATGCGGATGTGGACCATGACTTGTTTGATTCTCAAGGTGCGAGATGTACTTGCCAATGAAATGGATAAACATCAAAAGGAGGTGCCACTTAGTATAAGGTAGGAGTCGGTAGTAGTAGTATACATAATAAATACAACGGTTCTCATCATGACCACCATGACTTTACCCAGCTGACTACATCCTCTATCAGTCCGCTGCCACTGGCTTCTGACTCCTTCGTGCTCTGCTGCTCTTCCTTGCGAAGCTCTTCCTGGAGCTCAACACGAACAGCAACAAGCCTATTCAGTTCTCGAAGGCTGTTTAGGCGCTCCAGTTCCTGAACATTTGCATTTTCCTCTTCCAGTTGACGCAATCGCTGTTCCTTCTGTTCCTGTTCGATGGCCAGCTTTTCCCTATCTTTTCTCTCCGTCTCCAGCTGTTCTTTCAAGGCATCTACAATCTGTCCTTGTTCATGATACTTTTCTTCTATTGCGTTGATCCGGGCCTCGAGCCTCTCCTTGGCTGCCCTGAACTCTGCCTCTAGCCGCTCGTTTTCGCATCGCAACTTCAGGATCTGCTCGTGCTTGGTCTGGATCTCCTCCTTAAGTTCCTCTCTCGTTTCATGGTCCTTATCTCGAATTGCTGCCTCCATATCCTTGCGCAACTGAGCCACTACCTCTTCGTGGCGCTCTCGTTGTTCATTCAGGACCCGCGTCAGCTCAGATCCCGCTGAGGTCTGCACAATATTTTTGTGCTCGTTCACGAGCTCCTTTTGAATGAGAAGCGTGGCTGGTTGGTTATGAATCAGGTATCGTAGGATGCAGTGCGTCGACTCTTGCGTGCCTTCATGCCTCAACATCCGCGCACCCTTGTCGAGAATTCCTTTGAAGAAATTATTCTCTAGCTCCTTTTCCCTCATCTCTCCAAGGTCAGAAGCGACTTGACTCCACATGTTTGTCACGATCAACACGTTTCGCAGAGTGGACTCCCCACAGAGCTCTCGGAACATCTTGAAATTCCGTTTGTTTGTTCCTCCCATCCGGAAATCTGATATGCGGTGCATGTATACAATGCCAGCAAGTTTGGCACCATGCTCATATCTGTATTATTTGGATCAGAACGAGAAAAAGTATGACAACGAAGACAGACGTCTGCGAGAGGTATGCTCCTATCATCGCTAAGATGTCCGTATCGCTGCGGCTAGTATCGTCGAAGCCGGGAGTGTCGATCAATGTCACTTCCCGGCCGTTGAGTTTGAAGGGCTTCGTTGCTTGCACCTCGCTGGTGCAACTCTCGAGACTTCTTCCAATTGCGAAGTCAGATCCGCTGGCTTCATTGATGACTGAGAGTAGTCGATCAGTGGTTTCTTTGGACAAATTTTCACTGTTGGTGACACACATGTCGTCTTGCCACTTCCAGAGGATCCCATGATACTGCAAATATGAGACTGAGCGGAAGAAATCCTCAGGAAACGGTCGATGCATACGCTATTCTGATACTCAATGCTCCAGTCATGATCAATGTGCAGGAAGAGGACAGAGGACGATATATTGCGCGTTCAAGACAACGAACGCCCTTGTTTGACTAATATTGTAGATCCTAAGACACGGTCCTCGTTGAATCCACGTTGTAGACACCACATCACGTGCTAGTACGGAGGTGGGTGATGAGGCCTAGGCCTGAGGGAACATGGAATCAAGGCCTGAGGCCTGAGCGCTTATGCATAACTTATTGTGCTCGAGTCTTCTGGCTCTCGTGAGTGCTGAGCTTTCCGAATTCCAGACTCAGTATACAGCTGTATGTAACTTAAATGATGAGTGTGTGTTCGATCGTAAGTACTTTGTTGTGATCTGTTGCTAGTATTACTTTCGCCGTAACTTATCCGCTGCACACAGTTCGCACCGCGAGTTCGAGTTCACTGGCAGATTCGCTAGTCAAGAGTGAGTCAGGCCTTTGTATTATATCTGTGACGACAGTTATTCCTGTGTGCTAATGCGATAGATATATAGCTACAGCCATACAATGATGCCATCTCTCATATCCGATGTTTCAGGTTGTAGTCGCCAGCCTGAGAATGAATGGTGCGAGTCTGATACGGAGGCCTATGTGCGCTCCTCAAGACCAGTCCCTAGCCGTCGGTCTTGCCACAGGCCATATTGTGGATCAGCCTTCTTAATTTGGTGGCAGGCCAATCTTTTGGTCTGGCATGCTATCTTTGGCCCGCCAGGATAACGTTGACACCATTCCCGTCTGGCATGCGCGATGTTTAAACGTGTCTGGTTGGTCTCTAAGTCTTCTACGGGCCCAACCACAGCATTCTACCGGACCGGTTTTCGCACATTACATTTGCTGTGAAGTTTCGTTTGCCTACTGGCCAGGCATAGGCGAGCGCTTAGCCATAGCTGATACCGCAAGAAACCTGATGTCGCCAATCTCTGTTGAGAGTCAGACGACGGCCCATTCCCCTGTACTGCAACCGCTACCACGTATCGGCGGAGGTATGATCACAATTGCGCGCCTGTCTTAAATCCAAGGAGCCAGGTCGAACGGGTGGCCAAATTACCGTGATCATCCAAAAAGTCACACATATGCCTCGTAACTTACGCTAATCAGTTTCAGAGGCATGTCACAGAAGGTTTGGTTTTCATTTGCCTTCACTCAATGCTCACATTGTTAGCAGCAAGCCAGCCACCGCACATAGCTGCTCGCATAGTGCGTGGCTTAATATCTTGTACATGCCATCCACCTTCTTTCTATGCGAAGTATAAAATACCTGGTGCGCATTGCAGTCACTCACAAGGCATCTGCGGAAGTCTCGTCCCCCAAAAACTAATACTCTCTGTTCTACCCTTTTAGCTTTCAAGGTTACCAAGGTGAGAGATGGCTTTTGCCTTGCTGATTTGTTACAACAACTTTTGCTAAAACGGTTATTGATACAGTCTTGATCGTTCGATACAATGTGCCGCATTCCTGGTAGACCGACTTCATTTATTCGAGGGGGCGTGAAGAACTCAAGTACTACTCGCAGAGCCGTGCACTGTGAGCAAACGCCCATTCACACTTTTCTATCTGTTTTGTTAAAAGGTCACTCATGTCACGCAGAATCACTCGAAGTCTAACTTGAAGGGGACATTCTTGCCATTCTATATGTAACCACTACTAGCATGCATCACATCGAGATTATGATCGCTATAATAAATACATGCCTCGTTTCTTGAACATGTACATGTACTCTATATATTTAGCAATTTGTAGGATGATGTTATGAAAACTTTCAAGGTCATCTTTGTTTCGATGGTAAGCCTATGAACTATTTCTATCTTTCACGAGAGAGTCAGCGCTATTAGAGATGGCATGCGATGACTCATAGATCTGGTCATCGCCGGCATAGAGAGGGGTTATTTAAGGTAATAGCCCCTATCAGGTACACCAAGCGCTCGCTGTCGACGTCGACTTGCGAGAATGAATTGAATATCACGTATGAGTATCTAACCTTGAAACCTGTGCACGTAGCTCTCGATTCAGAGAAATCAATGAAACAACCATTGCGTCAAATTCCCCCGGAAGCCCCTTTAAATTACTCCTTATAATGCGGGTCGATGGAAGGAACACACCTTCGTCCACGACCACGAACAAGCACTACTTTAAAAAACGATAGCATCAGAAAAAACTTGCATCCCCGCACCTAGAATTTGTTGAGGTCGCCCGACACAATGCCTGGCCAGATAATTAGCCAGCCTAACCCTCCCCCGGGCCCCTCTAATCTCCCCGAGTCGATTCGCGACAACGCTGTCACGGTTGAACTTAACGCGAGCAATTTACTTACGACGCCCGAGCTTCATGCGATTCAGAAGTTCAGGCGAGCAGCCCACTACATTGCCGCTGGTATGTCAGTACCCTCAGCGCGTAAAATCTATTAAATGACTTCGATAGCGATGATTTTTTTAAAGGATAATATCCTACTTGAGCGCCCGTTAACTTTTGATGACATTAAACCGAGGCTTCTTGGTCATTGGGGCACTTGCCCCGGTCTGGTCTTGGTATATGCGCACCTCAACAGGATCATTAAGAAGACCGGTATTGACTCCTTGCTCGTGGTCGGCCCAGGTGAGTCAATTTTTGTTTACCTTATTTTCAGCCGCAACACATGATGATGCAACGCGCATGCACGCTACACATCATCATGCATCATGATTCAAATATTCACCCATATATTCATGCATCACGTGATTGTCAAGACAGTTGTTAACTCTCTTTCAGGTCATGGAGCACCTGCCATCTTGGCGTCCTTATGGCTCGAGGACTCTTTATCTCCCTTCTGGGAGCATTACACGCGTGATCGCTCCGGCTTAACAAGGCTCATCACAAAATTCAGTGCGCCTGGAGGTTTCCCAAGGTTCGCCAATTTGAACATTCTGGTGCTGTTCTGTCTTATTATCTCACCATCGTATGCCAGCCATATCAATGCCGAAACCCCGGGATCCATTCATGAGGGTGGTGAACTCGGCTACGCTCTCAGTGTCGCGTTTGGTGCTGTTATGGACAATCCTCATCTTGTTGTTACCTGTGTTGTCGGTGATGGCGAGGCCGAAACCGGTCCGACCGCCACTGCCTGGCATGGGTACAAGTACATCGATCCCCAAGAATCTGGCGCGGTTCTCCCTATTGTGCATCTGAATGGGTTCAAGATCTCCGAACGTACCATTTACGGATGCATGGACGACAAAGAGCTCATAGCCCTGTTCAGGTCTGGAGTAGACTGCGACGTGTATTCTTCAAGTCTGACGTATCCATTTCAGCGGTTACGGTTATCAGGTCCGCATTGTCAGTGACTTGGAACATATTGATCAGGATTTGGCCGCGTCTATGAAGTGGGCACTCGATGAAATCTCCTGTATTCAAAGCGCGGCTCGCGCCAATACGCCTATTTTCAAGCCGCGCTGGCCTGTCTTGATCCTCCGCACCCCAAAGGGTTGGACCTGTCCAAAGATGATGCATAACGAGTTCATCGAGGGGTCATTCCGCTCACACCAAGTGCCACTTCCACAGGCCAAGACGTCACAGGAGGAGCTTCAAGCCCTACAGGGTTGGCTTCAAAGCTATGGTCCTCATGAGCTTTTCGCTACCAAAGGCAGCAGAGGGGTGGTGGAGGGTGCACCTACTGAAGAGCTGCTAAGCATCGTTCCTGACAGGAAGGATAAAAAGCTTGGTTGCAGGAAGGAAGCACACGCCGCCTTCCAGCCCATTAAAGTTCCAGATTGGACCGATTTTGGGGTTCAAAAGGGATCGCAAGAAAGTTGCATGATCGTAGTCGGAACGTTGTTGAGGGATACGATTGATAAGTATGTTTTTCAATTATGTGTCTAGTTCTTATTCATTCTCTTCTAGGAACCCAAAAACCTTCCGGATTTTCTCTCCTGATGAACTCGTGTCTAACAAGCTAGACGGCGTGTTTAAAATCACCGGACGCAATCTACAGTGGGACGAAAATTCATGTGACAACGGCGGGCGCGTCATCGAAATATTGTCTGAGCATACCTGCCAAGGCATGTTACAAGGGTACACGCTTACTGGTAGGACTGCGCTCTTTCCGAGCTATGAGGCTTTCCTTGGCATTGTACACACCATGATGGTGCAGTATAGCAAGTTCACGAAGATGGTCCGTTGATACTCTAGATGGGCCAATTAATGCAGCTCATATCTTCCTTCCCAGGCCCATGAGACTGTTTGGAGGCACGATGTTGGTTCCGTTAATTATCTGGAGACATCTACGTGGGCACGTCAGGACCATAATGGCTTTTCTCATCAGAACCCGTCTTTCATCGGTGCCGTCCTTAATTTGAAGCCGGCGCTGGCTCGCGTGTACCTGCCGCCTGATGCAAATTGCTTCTTGTCCACGGTGTCCCATTGCTTGAGGGCGAAGAACTACGTGAACTTGATGGTTGGTAGCAAGCACCTCACGCCCGTCTGGCTGAGCCCTGAAGAAGCGAACAAGGTGAGGTGATCCCTCCTATTTTTTGCTCATATTTCGCTCAATGTCAGACAGCACTGCGTTGCGGGCTCGTCTATATGGAAATTTGCAAGCGTTGACGATGGCTTGAATCCGGATGTGTGAGGATTTTCCTTTTGTAGTGGTGGAACTTGAGCTGATTTGAGGTAACCAGCGTCCTCGTTGGTATCGGTGTCGAAGTGACATTCGAAGTTATAGCGGCTGCTGCACTCCTTCGCAAGATGGCTCCTACTTTGCGAGTGCGCGTTGTCAACGTCACCGACCTCATGATTCTCGGGCCCCATGGCAGCCACCCGCATGCCTTGAGCGCCGATGATTTCGACACACTTTTTACCAAGGACAAGAATATCATTATCAACTACCATGGCTACCCCATCGAAGTGAAAGGTTTGCTATTTGGTAGACCTGCCGTGGACAGAACCACCATCGAGGGGTATCGTGAGGAGGGAACGACGACCTCACCATTCGATGTGCGTCATTCGCAAGAATCAGTTACCCCTAATTT